AATGGTCAGTAGTTGTAGCTGGGCACCATCTAGTTCTTTTGGTCTCAGGGTAGATGAGGCCGTGGTTAAGTGTAGACTATTAGTCTTGTAGACTAGTTACTTCTTTAAGTCTTTGGTTTCCTTATTTCTCTTTTGCTATGAAGGAGTAGAGACCAATAGCTGTATCTTAGATGACCATTCACAAGCTTTTAAGACCCCACACACTATTCACCAAACGAGGATGTAGAACATAACTATATGAACTGTTATGCCAATTGACCAAGATGTCCCATGAGACTATGGTCCTAATCCTTCAAATCAAGTAATCCAATCCCTCAAGGTGTTTAGTTATGTCTAAGAAGTATCCACAACTGTGCCCCCTATGTGGTTTATTATATATATATATATATATGAATATACAGTCACATATATGTATTTACATATACATATGCATACACCTATATAGACACACTCATGATAAACCGAGAAAATATTGAAGTCGTCAAGGACTTCATTTTACTCGGATCCACAATCAATCCCAACGGAAGCAGCAGGCAAGAAATCAAACAATGTGTCGCACTGGGCAAATTTGCTGCAAGAGACTTCTTTAAAGTGTTAAAAAGCAAAGATGTCACCTTGAAGACTAAGGTGCACCTGACCCAAGCCATGGTGTTTTCAGTTACCTCATATGCATTCAAAAGATGAACAATGAATAAGGAAGACCTAAGAAGAATTGATGGTTTCGAATTAGGGTGTTGGCGAAGAATATTGAATATACCAAAAGAACGAACAAATCTGTCTTGGAAGAAATACAGCCAGAATGCTCCTTAGAAGCAAGAATAAGACTTCATCTCACATACTTTGGACATGTTATCAGAAGGGACCAATCCCTGGAGAAGGACATCATACTTGGTAGAGGGTCAGCAAAAAAGAGAAAGACCCTCAACAAGATGAATTTGACACAGCGGCCACAACAATGTGCTCAAGCATAACAAGGACTGTGAGGATGGCACAGGACTGGGCAGTGTTTTGTTCTGTTTTGCATATGTTCACTAAGGGTCAGAACAAACTCGACAGCACCTAATAACAACAATATAGACACACATACATACATACCTATACACATATATGGAGACCTGGTGGTGCAGTGGTTAAGAGCTATGACTACTAACCAGGTCAGCAGTTCAAATCTCCCAACTGCTCCTTGGAAACCCTATGGTGCAGTTCTACTCTTCTTTAGGGTGGCTAGGTATACACATATACGCCTACATATATACACATACAGCTGCACTTGTATTTTTTGGTTGTTTTTGCTGTTGTTTAAGTTATATATGCCATAGCGATTACCAACAGGTTCTTTCTTGTGTACTGTTTAGTGACATCATTCACCTTTGTCATGCTGTGTACACTTCACACTCATTTGGTGTTACCTTTCTTGTTACCAAAAGTAACAAGTGTCTACTATCTAGAGAGTGAACCCCCCATCCCTGGTAACCACTAATGAACATTTGTTTCTATATATTTACTTATTGATGTCATTTCATAAAAGTGAGAACATGCAATATTTTTTTGTGATTGACTTATTTCGCTCAGCGTGATGCCCTCTAGGTCATCTATGTTCCAAGATGTTTTGGGAATTCATTTTCCTTTATGGCTGAGTAGTACTCAGGAGAATATCTATTTGATATTGTGTCTTAAGACACACACACAAAATTAACCACAAAATAAAATTTATATGCAATTACCTTAATATTAAGAATGGTTTATCAAAAATTCCATAAAGTGGAAAAAAAAGCCACACACTGTGGATATGTGTTTGTGTGTTGGGGGAGGATATTTGCAACACATATACACAAAAGTTTATTATCTTGACTATATAAACAATTCCTGTTAATTAAAAAAAAAGATACAATCAACCAAATGAAGAACAAGGGATGGAAAATACACAAAAATACACTCACGTTCCATGTAACCATGGCAAATGAAGCCCACAATGAGATGTTTTACACCCACTAAACAGTTGCTGTGGAGTCAGCTCTGACTCATGGCGACTTCTTGTGTGTCAGAGAACTGTGCTCCATAGGGTTTTCAATGGCTGATTCTTCAGAAGTGGATCACCAGGGCTGTCTCCCAAAGTGCCTCTGGGTAGACTCGAACGTCCAAACTGTTAGCAGCTGAGTGCATTAACTATTTGTACCATCCAGAGACTCCTTACATCCACTAAACCAAAAAAAAAAAAAAAAAAAAAACCAAAACACATCAAAAAACCAAACCCATTGCTGTTGATTCTGACTCATAGTGACCCTACTGACAGAGTAGAACGGCCCCATAGGGTTTCCAAGGAACGGTTGGCGGATTCAAACTGCCAACCTTTTGGATAGAGCCAAGCTCTTAACGACTGCACCATCAGGGCTCTGATTCAGGAATAGAAGGAAATGGAACGTCTGGCTAATTTTGTCATGAACTGCCTCCTTTGCCACTAGACAAGAACTGGATGGTGTTCGGCTACCATTACTGAACATTTGATCAAAGACTCTATAGAAGAATCCTGATCAAAAGGGGAAGAATACAGAATTTCAAATTCTCATGGACTCCATACCTTCTGGAGCCATGGAGGCTGGATGAACCCCTAGACCTATTGCCCTGAGATAATCTTTAAATGTTAAACCAAAAATATTCCGAATTCTTCTTAATACCAAACAACAGTTTAGCTTACCTAGTAAAGAATGCCAGCCTTGAGCATTATGCTCTTAAGAATTATCTATATGGGATGAAATTGACAACAGCAACTGGAAAGATTACATAGGAACCTTAGGGGGCAGTGAGTTTATGTTAATGGGGGAGGTACAATTCAGAAGACAGTGAGAATGATTGCACAATTCGAAGAACGTAATCAATGCACATGTACATTGTACATGTAGGAATCGTGTAAGTAGAAATTGTTGAATTGGTGAATGTTTTGCTGTGTATATTCCAACAACAAAATAAAAAAATTCTAGTAACAACTTTACCACCAACTTGCTGTGAGATGTTTTTGGGACGAGGAGTGTTACACTGATAAACCAAAACCAAAAACTCATTGCCATCAAGTGGATTCCAACTCATAGCGAGCCTATAGGACAGAATGGAACTGCCCCATAGGGTTTCCAAGGAGCAGCTGGTGGATTTGAACTGCTGACCTTTTGGTTAGCAGCTGAGCTCATAACCACTCTGCCACCAGGGCCCCGTTACACTGATAGCCATTCCTAATTAGGGTGCTTATGGCAGGTCTTCTTTAGCAAGTTGTGGTCTTTAAGCCCAGGTGGTAGGAAAGAGACATGGAGCTAGGAAAGAAAGGACTGTTGTCCCAGATTAGCAACTTCAACAACGGAATAGCCATCCTTTGTGAGCCACATCACTTTCAGTCATGGGGCACTCTGCTAACTTGATTGTCCCAGCTTTGCTATGGGGAAAGCAGATGGACTATTCGTGTTTCTCAGTGGGTTAGTGGGTGAAAGCTACCAGCATTTGGGCTGGACATTTCTCTGGCAAGCAGGACTGTCCTGTGCATTGTAAAACATTTGGCACTCTTAGCCTTCTTCCTTCTACTAAATGCCAGTAGTACCAAATCATTGCGACAACCAAGAGCTTCCAGTCTTTTCAATGCCCCCTAGGGGGAGCTATCTCCTCTACATCTGGGTTTGAGAACCACTGGCAGTTGAGTGGTCCAGCTGATTTCCCCATTAGAAAATTCTTTATGTAGTTCCAACCTTTGTTCAAATTTTATTATGAAAGGCATCATCTCCTCCCAGCCCAACTACTTGGTACCTATCTTAGGCTATGCTCAGAGCAGATGTTACATGAAGTCTAACACTGGTTTCACACTGAGAATGCATTTTAGGGATGCACTCCTGGTGAAGCAACCTAAACTGGCCAGTGAAAGGATTATTAGTCAAAGAATCTAGGGCTTAGGACCTAATCTGATACAACCCTTGATGGACTTTAAGCCACATCTCTTTAGATTTTTGAGCTTTGGTTAACACTCATCTCTATCAATGAAAACAAAGAACTCTCATGTTCCTTGTCTCTGAGGTCCCTTGTAGATCTAAAATTCAATTACACACACATACACATATATAGAGAGAGATGGAGAGAGAGGTCATCACTGCTCATATTTGAATGTCAAAATGCAACAATACATCTAAGATCAACTAAGGGAGGAATTTTAAAATCCAGAAAAAAAAATTCTTACTACTTAAAATTTTTGGGAAATATTTTATAATTTATATATAAAATCTCAGTAAGAAACCATGTAAAATGACAGAAATATCCATCTTACATTAAGGTTCAAAAAAAAAAAAAACCAAAACCAAAAAAACAAAACCACACACATCGAATGTAAATTTTAATTATAAAACAAGAATATGAACGAACCATTTAAAATAATCTCAATTATTTGGCAACTCATCACATCATTGCAAGAGACAAATTTGATCTTAAGAAAAGTTTAATCTTATGAAAAACTTAAAGTTGGACAGTCTGCTCATACGGGAGATAAAACATGTTTAAAAAAGAATCTGGCAATAAAGCCAGTTTCTATCCTGAAATTACTGTGTATAAAACAACCTAAAATCCTGAAGCTCCGTAGGTGGGAGGGACCTAATCTTCAATGCATTTCTCTTCAGGAGAGATGGAAAGAGTGGGTGGCAACCGGGGCCTAGCAAGGAGGAGGGGAATGAAGGCCAGCAGGGGATTCTGCTCCAGGTGGCGGGACATGACTCCATCTGACCCAGGCCCCTCACGTCACTAGAGCTGGGCGTGAAGTCACAAATGTGAATATAATCTAAAAACTAGTTACATTCTTAAAAAATAGTCACAATTGTGGACAGAAAAGCAAAGGAGAGCCTTTCTTTAGCTAAGCTACTTTACTTGGAGACATGCGATGAGATTCTGACTCTCCTGCCAGATCACAGGCAGATAGTTACAGGGCAGGCAGAGTCCTAGAAAATTCCCTACTGGTGACTGCATAGCATGTAAAACCCTTTCTTATTTAAAAAAAAAAAAAAAAAATAATAATAATAAAATAAAATAAACATATATATAGTAAAGTTCACAGATAAGTTTTCTCTGTAAAATAAATAAAGTGTTCGTTGATTAGCATCATACATAGAGTAAAATACAACCTATTTTTACATGTTTATATACTGTACACAGATGACTAGGGACAGCTGGTGCCTGATGGGCTGCAAGGGTTTGCCTTAGAGATGTGTCACACTGGGGAATCCCGAGTTTGAAATGTTAAAATATACAACTACTTTGTTTGGAGTTGAGATACAAAGTAAACTTATTTTCCTTTATCTGAGAGAAATGTACATTAAATCTTCTATGAACAATAGTTTATAAAGCTATTTAAAACATAACAAGAAAAAGCTTGCACCTAGGAAATTACAGCACATGCATATCCTTTTCTCAGTTTAAAAACAAAACAGCTTCTGGCCCCCAGGGCTCCCCCTTCCTCTCCACTGTGTTCCTCGACAAGCCGGGGTTGGTAGCTGTCAGCATTACCGCTTCGCCTTTTTCACAGGGGCTTCCTCCACTCTCTGCTGCCCTCGTGTCCGCGCCCCTGGGGGGCTGGCTTCTCTCTTGCGCTTGGTAGAAGGGGACAGCTGTGTCTTTGATCTGCATTAAACAAAAGTCAAAGCAATGGTGAGAGTTAAAAGCAGCTGCAGCAAATAATTCGGGAGTTCCTTAAAAAAATTGAAGATTTTTGAACTTGACAACCAAGAAGATACAACTCGGGTAGCGTTTACACAGGAGAACGAAGGTATAAAGAGCTTGGGCTAGGAGGCTATTTGTGATAACTTCCTACACAAACACAGGGAACTGGAGGGCTCGTTCTAGCTCTACCGTACTCTGGGTGTTGACCTTGATCAATCAACTTTTATCCCTGGGCCTGAGCTCCTTTGTCTATAAAATAAAGAGATCAATTGCCAGTCCTACCAATATACACACTATCCCACGTTGAAACAACTAGCAAGAACAAAACAGGATTCCAACCTAGATCTGACCAAGTACAAAATTATGTTTTGCAGTACAGTATTATAGAAAATTGCTGGCAAAGTCAGTAAAGGCAGAACAATTTTAGGAAAGCCTTCCAGCCAATTTCCCTGCTACCAGAGTATCCCCTTTCTCCAGGCTGCCATTAGAATTATTTGTCTAAACTCCTAGTTTACATATACACTTTATATTTATATAAATGTATATTATAACATATAATTGTATTATAAATAATAAAATTTAAAATATAAAATTATAAATTATATAAATATATATATATATAAAATAACCCCTCTTGGCTAGCTGATGCCTTCAGGACGAAGTACCAGAAGTACCATATTTTTATGCAAATACATGCATTATGTTTTTTGCCAACAGTGCAAACCCCTTGCAAATTATTTTCCTAGGCATGCTACGCTCATAATATATGTGGGCGTGTTATATGCGGAAAAAATATGGTAATCCAGAGAGTAACACACAAAAGTCCTTTATAATCTGCCCTCACTTTTTACACCATCCTGGACTACAGTTCTTCCAAAGTATTCCCATTCCCCAATCGCATTGTGCCCTTTTACATCTTCATGTTTTGGAACATATGGTTTCTGGGAATCACCCCATACCTCCCCATCTACCAAACTTCATTTTTAAGCCTCAGTTCAAAAGTAATTCCTCCTGAGAAAGCCCTTCCCTGTTTGGAAATCCCACAGCACTTTGTATCTTCATCACCCACTTACCGCTGTGATTTATCTGCTGTGTTTTTTCACACTGCAGGTTACAGCCACTATTTTAAAACAACATAATAAGAGAACACAATAGAAAACACCACTGGTATCACATCTACAAGGTTTCTCTGCTTTAGTTACAGAAACATGAATGTGAGCACCAGCTACACTGTAAAATATAGTCTCCTTGTGTCAAAAAAGTCTGAAAGTCATATACACATCTCTCCCATTAGACAGTACGTTTCTCCAGGGCAGCTGAGTTTTATTCTTTTTCCTATCTTCAGTGCCTAGTACAATGCCCAAACCATGGGTGGTGTTGTTAGGTGTTATCGAGTTGACTTCGATTCATAGCAACTCCATCTGACAGAGTTGAACTGCCCCCATAGGGTTTCCTAGGCTGTAATCTTTATAAGAGCAGATCGCCAGGTCTTTCACCCATGGAGCCGCTGGGTGGGTTTGAACTGCCAAGCTTTTGGTTAGCAGCCAAAGTGCTTAAGTGTTACACCACCAGCGCTCCATAACACATGGTCAGCAAGTATCGAAGTTATCAATGAATGAAAAGATTCAGTCAATTAAAATTGTAGGAGATGGAGAATACATATTTTGCTTATTGTTCTTTTGACAACAAAAGTAAATCAACTCAAACTGAGTAAAATATTGTTGCAGATGATGTAGTTTTGGGATAATATTACCTACGCAAATGTTGAGAACAGCTGAAAAGCAGTGTTTGTTAATAACCCATTTCAAACTGTGTCCATGGAAAACCACAGCCCCTAAATGAACACCTGTTTACTAAACAGATGCTGAGTGCCAGTGTCCCTAGAAGCCATGGAGTAGAAAGCCGAAGCTTTGAGCCAGATTGCTTCTTCCCAGCTGTGTGTTGGCAGGGCAGCTGGGCCGTTTCCACCAGAGAGTGTCTGTGACCAGTAGCACCTGGGAGCCTGTTAGAAATGCAGAATCTCAGGCTCCATCCACCCAAGGCTTACAGAATCAGAATCTGTATTTTAACAAGAGTCTCAGGTGATCTGTCTGCACATTCAATTTTGAGAAGTAGGATCCAGACCACCTTTCTGAGATTCTTCCCCTAATATATAAAATTAGGATAAACGTTATGTTCCATGTTCCTGTTTTTCTCCCATTGCAGCTGAGTCGATTCCGACTCATAGCGACCCTATAGGACAGAGTAGAACTGCCCCGTAGGGTTTCCAAGGACTGGCTGGTGGATCTGAACTGCCGACCTTTTTGGTTAGCAGCCAAGCTCTCAACCACTGTGCCACCAGGGCTCCAAGTTCCACATAGTGAGGGATAAATGAGAAAATCTACGTGAAAGGTGCCTGGTGCTTTCAGTTTCCCTTCTATAACATGGAGATAATGCATACAGACATTAAAGTATGTTGCAAAGATCACATGCAATAAGAAATGTCAGAACAGGTTTTTTATACCGTGAATTCTTTTGTTTTTTGATGTCATAATGTACAGAAAGTAAGACAAGTGCCTGAACTTAAGGAAGAAACTTACAGTTCAGGAGGGGAAACAAAACTAATACACCTAAACCAATGGCACATGCCATTCTCAGCTGCACAGTGCTGATGGGAAGTGCAACAGAAGGGGAGATGATGAGGGGCTAAAGCAGGCAGACGAGGCATCCTGAAGAAGCTGGGCTTCGAGGACGGGAAGGACCTGGTCTGCTGGGAAGATGGTGGCGAGGCTGTTCCTCAAGAAAGGGCTAGCATAAGCAAAAGTAAAGAAGCAGGACTCAGCCCAACTGGTGGGAGCAAGAGATGGACTGAGCTGCAGAGGGAGTGCAAGCTGGCGGGTGGCTGGTCTGAAGCGGGCACTGTACTTCGTTACCTTTTCTCCTCGCTAAAACTAGGTCCTATGGTTCTGGGCTGTCACATGCTTTACCATGCAGTGCTGATTTAATCAAGCCCTGAGATCTACGAGCACTTGGAAGACGCATGCCTTGCCTCAGTCTTGGTGGACGGGAGTGGCGATGGAAGGCTCACAGGTGTCAAGGACAAGCCTGAGTGGGAGGGTGTGTGGCAAGGCCAGGCTGGTGAAGCACCAAGAGGAGACTTCTGTAGCCCTGTCTCTTCCTCTTGGAAAACAATGATCCCAAAAGACCGTTATGTGGTGAGACAAAAATCTTAAAGGAAATTAGGAAGAAAACATTACTGTATCAAAAATAGTCTAAGGGGGTTAAACATGATGTGAAGTGTAAGCAGGGACTTACCTTCCTAATGGGGGAGATTTACTAACTTTTTCGCTGGTGGATAACTTCTCTTTTGCTAATTTTTGGCGATTTCTGGGAGAAACTGTTTCTGGGCTGCCAAGTTTGGATGTTGCACGTGCAGATGGCTCGCTATGATGCTTTCTGAAACAGATTATAGAGACACTGGGCAATAGGTAGGTGGAATGGTAGCACTGAATACTCCAGTCCCTGGGACTACTTAGAAAGGCCGAGGCTCCTCATGGGTGAGTTGGAGCAATGCGGCTAAAGCATTGGTTGGTTTTGGTTGGTTTCCCTGACTGTTGCTAATAAATAGATCTTGATGTCATCCAGGACTAACTCTGCTTGCATAACTCTGTCTTTGCTTTTACTGTGTCTGATATTTTATTGTGACTTAGAAAAAGATGAAACTGGAAAACAGAAAATACACTGGCTGACGAAATGGAGATCAATCTCAAAAGAGCTCATCAGAGTAGAATAAGGGGCCAAGATTAATAAAAACATAATTCACAAAGCTAAATGTCAAGGCCCTGAAACTGGATCCCAAGAGTCAACTGCACATGTATCAGATGAAGGGATCAGACTTAGCAGCAAAAATCCTAAGAAAAAGGATTTGTTTAGTTGGTGTACAGTTCAATCTGAGACAACTCTATGATGCATATTGAAGCACAGAATCTACAAAGGAAGATGGGGACAATCTTCTTCTGGATTCATTAGATCACACTTGGTGCAGAACATTTGCTTCTTAAACAGCAAGGATGAGGGGGCTTAAAATAAGAAGAGAAGATCTGGAAGCTACCCTCAAATGTTTAAGAGGAAGTTACCTAGCAGCTCCCAAGAGTAGAACTAGAACCAAGGGTAGAAGCTACAGGGAGGCCAGCTTCTATGGAACCCAAGGAAGAGAACTCTGAGAAGGAACTGCTTTCCCTGCTACCGAGTATGTGCAAAAGCAGGAAGACTGTTTAGAGGAGCTGCTGGTACAGTGATTCAGGCACTGACGGGTTAGTCAGATTAGATGATCGCTGAGACCACAGCCAATCCCAAGAATCTGAAATTATGAAGACACAAACACCCTGGAACCAATCAACTGACACCAAAGAATCTATACTAAAGAGTAAAGGATCCATTTGTGAATAAAAAGTTCCTAAAATACAGTAAGAAACAGCATTGACTGTAGAACTATATAAGTCAAATAAAATTTATTTGTAAAGAATGAATTTTAAATGGCAAATCTAAGCTGCTTTTAGACACTCACTCGAAGATGGCTAGGAAGGCTATGGAACTTCCTCTGAGGTGAGCCCTACTGTATGGGATGATCTCACCAGGAACGTTTTAAGAGGGAGGTGGTGGTGTTGGTGGAGTGTTCTGCATCAGAATACAGAGGTGCTGGGCTCTATCTATCAGGAGGAATCTTGATTCTGTGACTTCTCTTCTATTTGAGTTGCCCCACCTAAAAAGCAAACATGGTATCACCTTACCTTAGCCACGTGAGCACCTAAAGTCTTTTGGCTCTAAAATCTGACTCTTTGAGAAATCAAAACCATGGCAAAAAGGGTTAATAACGTACAAGTTTGGAGGGATTAGAAAAGGTACTTTTACTATACTAGAGTGATAGGTGTTAATAAGTGATGGTACTGAAATAAATATTCCTGAAATTTTGATTGATTTGGATAATGAAATAACAAAAGATGATACCAAGATTAACAGCCTGTAAATCACATTCAAAATGGAAAGTATTCTTGCTTTGGAGGTTACTATTAGGATGAAACTATATAGTGATGCAATATTTCTCAAAATGTGCTGTGGGGAATACTGATTGGTGTTCACAGGCTTAGTAACGGGTACAGTGGTCAAATAATGTTTGTTTAAACAAAGGTAGGCAAGTTTCTTTCCTTTAGGACTTTGGTAAGCCCTAAATAAAGTAATGTACACCGTAACCTTCTAAGAAGGGGAGAGAATTCACTGACATCCCTAAACGCATTTGACCATGGTACTATTTTCCCAGAGGCTTCTGGCTAGACTAAGGTTTGGGAGAACACAGTTTAGGAAACATGAAATTGCCATTTATGTAAGTCAAAAATGGTCGAATATGGGCAATTTCATACAATCCATCAACTACAAAGCTCTGGTTAGATGCATCTTACAACAGCGATGCGTGTGCCTGCTTTCTCTCTTACTAGAGTTAAGAGTATGGAACGCAGACACTGTGTTTTATATATCTCTGTATTCACCCATCATGCTCGGCACAATATCTGAGACACAGTAAATGCTCAACAGATAGTAGTAAAGGAACTGAATGGGTCCACCCAACAGACAATTAAATCCTGGCAAAGATTCTGAAGTGATCCCAAAAGATGGCTTAAGATGGGAAACATTCTCCAAGAAGAAAAAAAACATCAGAGGGCTGAGAGCAAGTACTCTCTGCTGAAGATAAACAGAAAGGAAACAGCTTACACTGTGGCATAAGAAAGGATAATTCCACAAAACTCGAAGGAGTTTTCTGATGGAGAAGCTGGTGAAGGTCATTAGAAGCTCTTTGTTGCCCCCTATTACCTCTGAGCCTCTGACCTGGTGGTGGATCTTGTGGTGGCTCCTGAGGGTTCATCTTCCTCCTCCTCTTCCTCTTCCTCATCAGACTCCTGGTCTTTCTTGTCCTCGGCTGCATCAGAAACTGACTTCTGGCGTTTTCTTTCTGGCTCTGAGGATTCTGTTTAAGTAGAAAGGTAACACCTGGATTGTACAATTCCCAAAGACACTTCCAAAGGATAGGGTCACAGAGTTTAAAAGAACTTAAGATGCAACTTGGAGGTAGAAGTGGTTTTCTACTTCCTTTATGTTTCAGCACATCCAATTCACAACTGTTTAACTTAATCTCAAACATGTTTGGGATAGTTTACTTAGGCGGGTCACAGCCAATATCATGAAAAATTCACACGTACTCTGGGAAGCATCTGGGATGTACAATTGCTGACATGGGATTAGAGCCATTTCACACATATTTACATAATATGAATACTAGCTGTACCCCACTAGATCTTCCCTCATTTAATGAACAACTCTTTAAAAGAGGATTTTGAAGCGTAAGACTGTAACTAAGAATGTGCTCAAAGAACTGAGTTGTACCAGCATCATCTGAGAGAGTGAGAGAACGCTTGGGCTTTCTTCCCCTTCGACGCACACTTGCTACTGCTTTTTCTTCACCATCATCCTAGAAGCAACAAAATTGAAGGTGAAATGGCACCAACTGATCATTTACTAAGTTTAGGTGTAAAGGAAACATTTTGATAAGAAAATCAACACTTACATTACTTATGCTTCTTTCCTGTAGGTTAGCTGTTTCTTTATTGGACTCATCTTTAAGAAAAGGGAAATCTCTGCATTAATACTTTGTTGTTGTTAGGTGTTGCTGAGCTGATTTCAATTCTTAGCGGCCCTATGTGACAAAGTAGAATTATCCCATAGAATTCTCTAGGCTGCAATCTTTATGGGAGCAGATCACCAAGTCGTTCTGTCACGGAGCTGCTAGGTGGCTTCAAATTGCCAACCTTTCAATTAGCAACTGAGCGCTTAACTGTTGTGTCACTAGGGCTCCTTATTTAATACTTTCTTAGTGTAAAATTAAATTTCATCAGTCTAGCTTGTTGTCTATGCATGCACCAGTGCTAATTAATGCATGCTTATATAATTTATCATTATTTTGTCTCAGTCAAGCAAAGTAAAGCAAAGTAAGAGTCAGAAAATCTAGCAGAGAGCACATTAGAACGCAAGTAAGGATACCAAAGTTTTAGTTTCAGATTTACCACCAGTAAGCTGTGTGATCTGGGCAAATTACTGAAACGCCCTGAGCCTCAGTTTTCTCACGTGTAAAATAAGGAGTTGGGTTGGATCGCCTTTATGGTCTCTTTCAGCTCAAATGGAGCTGTGGTGGTGCAGTGGTTACGTGCTCGGCCGCTAACCAAAAGGTCGGTGGTTTCAATCCACCAGCTGCTCTGTGGGAGAAAGATGTGGCAGTTTGCTTCTGTAAAGATTACAGCCTAGGAACCCTATGGGACAGTTCTACTCTGTCCTATAGGATCATTATGAGTTGGAGTCGACTCGATGGCAATGGTTTTTTTTTTTTGGTTTTGTCAGCTCAAATGTTCTTGAACCCAGAAAGGGAGGAGAAAAGGGCCATCTAAGGAGCACCCAAGATAGACCAAGGAGGAACTGTGATCAGGATTAGAGACTTCATTTAAATCTCAATGTAAATAAACCTCCAAGTATTACAATTCCCATTTTATAGTTAGGGAAATGAGGCTCAAGTAACTTGATTTAAGTAACTTGAGGGTCACATAACTAATAAGTAGGGTGATAGCTGGAATTCTTTCGACTCCAATTGCATATATCATGGTAATGAAAAAAAGTACATATTATAAGACTGTAGGTTGTCTATGCCTATTCTTTGTATATTTGCTTTGTGTAGATGTCACAATTTTCTGAGAATGCATCTTAGAAAGAAAAATGAAGTTTAGTTCAATGGACTATTTGAAGTTAAAACTACGGGGATGCTTGTCAACATGAAAAGTGTGGTAGCTGCCCTCTCCTGCAATTTCAACAACCTAACGAAGACAGAAGAGTTAAACCAGTAAAAAGGCCAACAAAGAAGGAGCTTGTCTTAAACTAGTGATTATTATCCAGATTCAGAAAAATAATGTCAAATAACAACCCTAAAACATAATCACATCACTGTAAAAGCATGTTATTACTATTTATAAAATCAGTGTCTTTAAAGGACACTCAATTTTATAGGGATTTCTTGATATTGTAGAGATTTAAAATATTATAAAGGCATGAATGAAAACTGGTTAAAAACCAAACATAAGTAAAATCTCTCCACTTAAAAACATAAACAAACCTTAATTTCCTAAGAGACGAGGAAAAATGAAGTATAATTACAGAATCACATATGGTTAAACGTGGAAAAAAAAAACTTTAAATGACATATTTGCTTTATCTTGCTGGTCAGAATACATACTTTTCTGATCTGACTATGCAACTAATTTGATCAAAAGAAGTTGTCACATTCATTTTGTTGCCAAAGTCTGCCCTTTAAAACCTACCAATGAATCTTCTTGCTTTTATGTCACAGATTTTAAACCATGAAAATAATATATACACTGTTACAAATCTGGAAAATGCATACAGCTGTTAACAAATAATCTGGAACGCACTCATCATTCCACCACCTAGAGAATCATTATCAACATTTTAGTATATTTTCTTCTCCTTGGAATAAGGACAAAAGTACTTAAAAGGATCCCATCTCTTGAGTCCTGGGAGCTGTGAGCTGCACAAGCTGCTTTCTAAATTGTTATCCCTCTGAGAACACTAGACTCTTGAATGGGATTTGAGTCTTCCTGGTAACAGTGCCCATTCGCCAGGCTGATCCACTGCTTCCCTTAATATACCCATAAATTATGGCATGGACGTGGCTGCATAAACTACTTCCTTGGATGGAATGCTTTTGCTCTTTCACTTTTGCTGCCATCCCCTTCCTCTATGAAGGCTGCCCAGGCTTCCTGAGCCTGCAGTGAGAGTTCTGTCATCATGGCCTCTGTGGCTCTCTGTCTCTGTCACTGGCTACTCAGTTGGCATTTACTGCATCACCTCTTGCTTTTTTCCTACACATCTTTCCTCTTGAATGAGGCTGTAATCCCCCTGAAGACAGAGGTTACTTTTTATACTTTTATTTTAAAACCTACATTTTATTAATTTTCTTGAATCCATAAGGAATTCTCATTGTAAGAATTAAATGGGCCAGAAGGGTATTCAATGAAAGTTAAGTTTTCCTCCCAACGCTAAAGCTCAGGCACCCAGCTCTCCTCTCCTGAGGCAACCAGCCTTTCCAGGGCTTTTGTTTCCTTCTGTTTCAACACAATACTTCTTATATTAAGGCTGGCTCAGGCCACAGGAAAAGCCAACAGGGAGAGTCTTTCCTGGCTATAAGGACAACAGTTTTTACTGAGGATGCTTTGTACTACAATGAGAAACAGAAGGAAACTCTAAAAACTTCCCCAACAGCCTGCTTCCCTCATACAACAGAAGAATGCTGTAGGTACATACCTGTTTGCATTATTTTCACTTTACTGCTAGGTGGAGGTTGTTCTACCTAAATTGAAACAAAACAAAAAAAAAATCGAAATTGGCAGTTTATCAATATCACATAGAAAAGTAGTCAACAACGTAAGGAAAGTTTAGGGCCTCTATTTATTACGTATGGAACCCCTGGGCGGCACAAATGGTTAAGCACTGGGCTACTAGCTGAAAGGTTGGTGGTATGAACCCACTCAGAGGTGCTTCGAAAGACAGGACTAGTGATCTGCTTCCGAAAGGTCACACAGCCTTGAAAACCCTATGGAGCAGTTCTACTCTCCACACATGGGGTCGCCACGAGTTGGACTAGACTCGATGGCAACTAATAACAACAATTTATTGTATAGCTATAATATTTTCCGTAGCTAATTCAATATACCAAGCAAAAACAGATCTTCATGCTTCTGAACACACAGCCCGTCCACAGTGAGAATCAAGGCTGCAACAAGACTCTTTCCCAGCAACCTGCTGCCATGCCAGGGATGAGCACAGGAGCAATGCAGCATGGCCCACTGTGGTTAATACTCCCCAACTCTGCAACCACTTCACATGCAGTAAATGCATTCATACCTAGTGCTCTGGTTTTGTGGTTTTATAACAATCCTCTAAGTGGGGCAACCACCTTATAGCCAAGGAAATGGAGGTTCCAGAGGGTCATGTGCTTGGCCCAGTGTCAGAGATCTTGCAGTAAGTGGCAGAACTGCAGCCTAAATCCCATTTGCTTTTGGGAGGTCAGTGGACATATGCTTATTCTCATTATAATGCTGTCATCAAAATTAATCCAATAAAATCTTCATACATTGATTTCACTGGGTTTATACTTCAGGGTCAAAGGTAAAAATGGTTAAAAAGATAAAGTATTACTGAGGATTTTCCTTTATTAAAATCAGCTTATGCTTTATTACAAAAAGGAATTTTTTGTAAGTAGTAAGATGGAGACATATCAGAGATCTTCATAAAGAAATCGATTTAAAAATAACATAAAACAGCTGATTTCTATACTTTAACCAAGAGTGACCACAAGAAGATACGACCCTATATAATTTTTATATAACCAAACTCATGAGAGAGGATAGAATCAGAATGGAGAACAAGTAACTCATAGAATTGTTTATATGAAGACATCACTAATCAAAACATTATTTGAATGGTTACTCAATGTTTTATTTAAGGAAGTCTTTTAAAGCTTTTCAAATACTTTGAGAAAAATAATATAGTTCAAAATCCTAGATATTGCAGTATAACTTTCTGATCAAAAGCAAGTATTTCAAGAGTTTTCATCTTTCACAATTACTTACAGTGACAATGCCAGTGTCTGTTTTGGAGTCCTCTTCTAAAAAACAAAAGCAATCTCACTTAGAAAATTAGCTTGAAAATTTCTTGTGTGTGACCTGAAAACACATCAAATACCTACTTGTTTTTAACACAGTTTCTATAGGGTGTTTACGAGGTCTTCCTCTTTTCCTTTTAATAATTACAGGCTGATCTTCCTAAGGGGGAAATAAAAAACAGTCAAACAAAACAAACAGCAATAAAAAATGTTATTCTCTGTTATATAGTTTATATTTTCTCAAAGTGAGATTTAGAGTCCCCTCCTCCTTGCTGTTGTTAGCTGCTGTCCAGTCAATTCTAACTCATGGTGGTCCCAGGTGTGCAGAGTAGAACTGCACCCCAAAGGGTTTTCTTGGCTACAGAGCAGTTCTGCTTAGCCTGTTTAATGGAAGCAGACTGCCAGGCCTTTTCTTCCACGGTAGTGCTGCGTAGGTTCGAACCACCATTCTTTAGGTTAGCAGTCGTGCGCAAACCATTTGCACCACCTAGGAACCTAGAGTCTCCTCCTAAGCGGCTCAAATCACAAGCTTTGTCACTTAAAAACTACGTGACCTTTGGTTAGTGCTTCACTTCTCTCACTGCAGTCCCCTCACCTGATAAATGGTGGAAACAGTAGTATGAATTCATGGAGTCCTGAGGACTATGCGATAATGAGACAATGCAAGCCAGCCCTCAGTAAGTGGTAGCGTTTATTTCTGCAATAAACATAGGCCTCCAGTGAAATTCAGTTTTCATCCAAGTTAGTTGTGACCAAAGTTATCTCTTGTAAGACAAAAGGAGTCCACTGAATTTCTCACACAGAAGCATGAGAAAACAAGAGTTTTTTGTGCCCTTAAAAAGTTGGCAAACTCAGTGTGGTTCATGGAGAAGAACTGCCTGGTGTACGAGGTCAAGGTTGTTTCTTTGGATGATTGGAGCTCTGCCTCAGGCTGCTATGATTCTCTGCCCTACTGGGCTCCTCTGCATATCTGAATGGGCCAAGGACAGGCAGGGCTGGGCTGGTTCTGTCTGCTCCTGCGCCTTCCCAGGCGCCTGCCTCGTGACCCTGGGTCCCATTAAGTACCCCTGCTTGCCTTCTGCACCCCTGCTGCTGCTGCTCTAATTTCACCCCATCAGGCCTCCAGTTCTGGGCCTGGCATGGCAGTGCTAAGCTGTTAGGGCAGGAACCCGACATTGCCACTGATGTAGTGCTTTGGGCTGATTCTGTTTGGCCATGACATAAGTAGGTCTCATACAAATATATTGATGAAATGAAGAGGAAGAGAACAAAATTAATCATAATGACATTGATAAAATGCACTGTGTAAAATGGTGTCCCACTGCACTAAAAATAAAAGAGCACCATCAAAAGTACTGAAGAGAAACTTAACAGTATCTAATGCATTTGTTTTTAGTTCTTAAATAATTCTGAGCAAATAAATAGGAAACAATTTCTTGCCTCCTGAGATTTTATGTTGTCATCTTCATTTTGCTCTGTCTTTTCACCAGTAGCTTCACTGCTGCTGTATTCATCTACAGAAAAGGGAGGGAGAGTCATTTCACTGCTGGGGACCGAGGCCAGCCTCCATCGCTACGACAGCTCACCAAGGTGACTTACGCACTCACAGACATACATGTGCAGACACACTCCATTTTCATGCCCACGCCATCAAAATTCGTAAGACTGAGTTTGGTCAGCTGCTAAGTAGCACTCTTTGGGCAGAACAGGAACCAAATGAAAAATGATTCCCAAAAGCTTATTAAGCACCCGAGTACTGTATTATAAAAGGAACACAAACGTGCAAATCTGCCTGCTGAGGTTTCGGTGGGTGAAGGGTGGTGAGAGATGCTGACTCTTTGAATGCTTAGTTATTTCTCAGACTAATTTATCTAAGTAGATGTATTACTCACCTTTTTCTTCCATGGCCTTTGAAATACTGCTGTTTGTCTTACAACTTGCTGTAGACAGTTCTTCCAAATCACCAGAGCTCTCTTCCTATAGAGAAATTGAACAAGACAAGAAGCCTTCTTTCTCAAACTTAACACTGCCTACACTTGCCCTTCCCCACATTTTCTTTTCTATTTCAAAAACAATGTTCTAGTTGTCTTTTAAAATTGTTCACTGGAAAATGTTTTTAAAGAGTAACTATTATTGCTGCTATGGAGACTATAAAAACAGATAAGAATTCTGAAGACAGAAAACCACGAGATAAGGTTCAACTACAAAGTAACAAGGCTATTATTTTTTTTCCCTGCAAAATGGAACTGCTCTTCTCCTCCCTCATCTTGGGCCTTGTCTTTTCCAGAGAGACTCCAAAGCGAGAACTGATGAGAACTGGCAATGTATTTTTTTCTGTGTGGGTGGTGGAGGGGAGGGACTGGGGAGAAGGGATAAAGAAGAAGGCATCAAAGAGAATTCAGCTGAGCTATTTAGAGCAGTGCTCTCTCAACAGTTCAATCATTCACCCTGGAGTCCCTGGGTGGTGCAAACAGTTAACAAGGTCATGAACAAGGTTGCTGCTAACCAAAAGGTTGGAGGTTTAAGTCCACCCAGAGGTGATCTACTTCCAAAAAAGCCACTGAAAATCCTATGAAGTGCAGTTCTACTCTAAGGCACATGGGTCACCACAAGTCAGAGTTGACTAGATGGCAACTGGTTTTCTTAATCATAAAGATTTTTTTTTTAATGATATTTTATTGTGTTTTCATTGAAGATTTACACAGCAGTTTAGTTTCTCATTCAACAATTTCTACATAAATTGTTCAGTGATATTGGATACATTCTCCACAATACATAACATGAACTTTCTCACTACTTCAGTTCTGGTTGTTTCATTAGTCGCAAAGATGTTTTGAGCATGAAATGCTACAATGTCTGTATTATAATTTTCCTTATTTATGAACAGAAATATATTCTCCTGGTTCAAAATTCAAAAGGGTCTATAGTGAAATGTCCATACCGGACTTTCCTTCCCAAAAGTAATAATCAGTGTCATCAGGATTTGGTGTAACCTTTCAGGGATTTTATAGGGAGACGGACATTCACATTTCAAACAGTCTTAAATATTCTGAAGTTTTTGGCCAACTTTATATCAGATATAATTAGATCCTTATTCTTTTTACTTAGTAATGAGGCTGACAAAGAGCTTCTGTTATTTCCTAGTAACAGAAGTGTCAGCTCAGCCATTTTCTTATTATTTGTTTGTGCCTGCATTATAAACTTTATCTTATGGTTTCTTTGTGGGAATCTTAAGCCAGTGTTTGTTTTGGAGGGGTTAATTTAATTAAAACTAGGTTAACAGACTGTAAATTCATCCAGTTGAGCATCTGAAACCCATAATAAAAAAAATACTGAAAGTAAAAAAAATAAGTGAGGGGATCATTCAAATCCTCTGCATTGAGGAACTCACAGCTTTCCTTAAGACCCCTTGAATATACTATGTGACCATGACCAAGACATCATAAGGACAGCTTTCAGTGATGGCACCAGTGTCAATCTATAGATTAAATATTAATAGAGCTTAACTTTTTTTCTTGTTTTTAGATAAAAAGGAAGTTCTACCGTTTCTTCCTATACTCCACTTGTGATAGTACTGGTGTAGAGAATGCAAGGCCATCCCATTTGGGAAAGCTGCAGAGCTTCTCCTGAGCACCCGATTTGCTTTGACATCATCAACACTGAGGCTCATGCTGCGCTATGGTTTTCGGCCTGAAACCCCTTGAAGTGCTGAGTATGTGTGTGTGTCTGTGGGAAGGGGCAGGCAGTGGTTTTGGGGGGGTCTCCTGCCTCATTTCAGACAGAAGAGCTCCATTTTTATCTGTTCCATATACTTGGCTGAAGATGTACTGCCCATAGGTTTTCAAACCACTGGACTAGAAGGCATTTCCCTTTCCAAGCTGGTTCATTCAGAGCCACCACTTTGGCTTCTTAAAAACTTGATTAGATTCCAGTGATAGGCATGTGATTCACTGTTTATTGCCTACTCTTATTTTTCCTGTACTTGATTTTTTCACTTACTCAATTTCGGTCTTCTTTTAGTCTTACCATACACATTTTAGAATGATTTTATTGCTTTTAGAAAGTGATAAATATTTATTATACAGAAAACTGTAACAGAAATGATAAAATCACCTCCAACTGTTGTTGTTAGTTGCAGTTATTTGGCCTCTGAATTACAGCGGCCCCATGCACGATGGGATTGGACTGCTGTGATCCACACAGTTTTTACTAGCTGATTTTTGAAAGTAGATTATCAGGTCTTTCTTCCTAGTTTGTCTTTGTTTAGAAGCTCTGCTGAAACCTGGTCAGCGTAACAACATTCAAGCCTCCAGTGGCACAAGGGTGGTGGGCTGTGCTTGAGGTGCACTGGCCGGGAATCAAACCTGGGTCTACCTCACAGAAGGTGAGACTTCTACTACTGAACCACAAACGTCCTCACTCCCAACCTACTGTCCAAAAATTAACATCATCAACATTAAACGTAACATTAAATGGATGCTGCTGCAGACATCTTTCCATGAAAGAAAATACTGATTTATGATATTGAAAATATTACCGGTGTATTAAATTTTTAATAAAAATGGCTAAATTACATTTTTATTTCAATTTATCATTAAAACACTTACATGAAATTAAAGGGAAAATAAAAAGATACCCCCTACAATCTGTATCTCTGCTAATCTAGGAGTAGTGTTCTTAGGATTTTTGTTCTGGAAAGGGCAGGGGGAGGGATGAGGTTACAAGCCTGTTTCTTTCCTTGGCCACAAGCAACTGAAATTCTTAAGAATATGTTACTTTATCTGTTTGGCTGTTAAACTTCTTTTTCCATTTTTTATTTAGTTCAGTTATTGGGGGAAGAAGAGACTCTGAACTGGTTTCGTGAACTGGAAGTCAGCTGCATATATTTTTATAAGCTGACTTAAGCACTTCCAGAACAAAGTGGTAAAAATAAATTAAGGAAATAGAAAGAATGAGGAGATAGAGGTAGTTTGGAAATGACAAAGAGAAGTTATAAAAGTGTTGAATCTCAGAAATGAAAGACTACCCAAGAAGAGATTTATCTGCCAAGAAGTGGGGAAATCTGAGGCTAAAACAAGAGAGAGGACTGGGGCAGAAAAATGAATTTGTGAGATACTCCGCTAAGTCACAGGACAAAAAATAAAGATCATAGGAAAAAAGGACAACCTATATTTTAGGGAAGGAGCCCTAGTGGTACAGTGGTAAAAGCGGTCGACTGCTAGTCAAAAGGTTAGCGGTTTGAACCCACCAGCCACTCTGTGGGAGAAAGCTGTGGCAGTCTGCTTCCATAAAGATTACAGCCTTGGAAACCCTATGGGGCAGTTCTCCTCTGTCCTATCAGGTTGCTACGAGTCGGAATCAACTCAGCGGCAATGGGTTTGGTTTTTTTGGTCTGGATATTTTAGGGGCAAAGGATAAACTAGAAAGGAGGCAGAGTATTAACATTCTTAAAGCAATGTGTATCACTGTTTTCAACATCTGGGTGAAAGCATGTCTGTAATAAAGTATATCACACTTTGGAAAAAACCTAAAGAAGTCAATAGTAAGACTGAGCAAAAATGTAAGCAAGCAATGATTATATCTATACTGTGAGATTAACAATCCTCCAGCTTAAGAATTATGAAGTACAACATTATACACCTTTTATGATAAACAGATTATTAGAGATACATAAAGTAGAAAAGATACTAGGATGAAAAACAAAGTAAGTATTCACAGTGATATAATGAGGTTACCCCCAAAACTTAATTTGTGGAAAACAATACCTTTGCATCCTGTGGCTCAGTTTCCACGCACTGCCTCTGTGCAGCTTCTATTCTGGAATGCAGGACACCGGGATTATCATCTGTAAATCAGTTTGGACAGAATAACAAAGGAAAAAAAGCTAAATGAAAAATGAAATGCACAGTTCTATTTTAAAACAGCCTGAGACTTCTTTACTAGACTTGTGATCCACTGAAGATAGCAGTTATTCTAAATGTGTTCATAAGCTCCTGTGATTTGAGCACTGAACATTGGCTCTTGGCCCTGGAAGAGTCAGAAAAAAAAAAAAAAAAAATCCCCAAGTGCTTAAATGACCACAGCCAAGTAGCAGGTTCTATGGAAAAAGCATAAGGACACACAGAGTTCCCAGACACTCTTTACCTTCACGTTCCTGAACAAGTTACCACCTGAGTGGTATGGCTTACAGGTGCAGCTTAAGACCACGGGGCTTTGGAATCAGATTTACTTTACTTTACAGTGAAGTCACAACCTCTCAGAATCTTAATTTCTTTATTTAAAAGTGATGATAACACCTAATTCACAGGGTTATTGAGAAGATTAAGACTGTATATAAAATACCACAAGTAGTACCTGGATATAGTATGAACTCTATAAATTATAAAAACATGCAAAAGCTAGAAAATGAACAAAGAAGACCAAAGAAGAATTGATGCCTTTGAATTATGGTGTTGGCAAAGAATACTGAATATACCATGGACTGCCAGAAGAATGAACAAATCTGTCTTAGAAGAAGTACAGCCAGAATGCTCCTCAGAAGTGAGGATAGCGAGACTTCATCTCACATACTTTGGGCATGTTTATCAGGTGGGACCAATCCCTGAAGAAGGATATCATGCTTGGTAAAGTAGAGCGTCACTGAAAAAGAGGAAGACCCTCAACGAAATGGAATGATACAGTGGTTGCAACAATGGGCTTAAACACAGCAACGACTGTGAGGATGGTGCAGGAGTGGGCAGTGTTTCATTCTGTTGTACAAAGGGTTGCTGTAAGCTGGAACTGACTCAATGGCACCTAACAACTAAAAAGGGAAATATTTTATTATCCATTCTTTTTCACTTATTCATTCAGTAAGTTGTTGCTGTTGGTAGGTGCTATTGAGTTGGTTCCTCGTGAGTATTTCAGTAAGAATTTACTGAATTTCTACTTTGTGTCAGGTATGAAAGTATACAAGTTTCTGCACTGTCCAACACGGCAGCCGCCAGTCACATGTGGCTATTTAAATTTAAATTATTTAAAATTAAATACAATTAAAAATTCAGTCTTTCAGTCACATTAGCCATATTCAAGCGCTCAGCAGGCACACGTGGCTGGCGGCTACTGTACTAGACAAAGCAACTAGAGAACAGTGCCATCAATGCAGAAAGTTCCATCAGATGGCACTGTTACAGACCATGAGAAAATCAACAGTATGGCGCACAGAGGGGTATTACATGAACGTTTACAAAAATGTTTCAGTAGCTCTACAGGGCGTCTATCAAGATAGAAAATACGGACCTCCACAGCATCTGACTGGATCCCAGGCCCATATTACAGAGGAAGCCTGGGTTTGTGTAATTTCCAAGGGTTAGGTCTTCTGTAGGGAACAATATAGTTTCTAGATCAAGGTCCAGAAAGGACTCTAAAGGGGTTAAGCCAGTCTGAAAATAAAGCAGTCTCAAGAGTTGTGAAGTAAACAATTACTACCCTCAAGAATTCTCTATGTTGTTTGCCCACTACTTTGGATGTGAACATAGTATGGTTTTCGGAGATATCTAAAACAGAAACATATGTATTACAAATACCCAGCTCATCGTCTGAAGAAGGATAATGCTTCTTTCTTTTTCTTTTAGCCACATGCCTTTCTTCCTCTTGGATTGAAATTTCAACCTAGAATTAAGAATGGTCATTTTAAAGGCAACAGAATCTAGATCCAAATCTGTTAAATGGGGACACATTAGCTTCTAGTCTTTGGAATGAATTTATACCTAAATTAAAAAAAAACCTAGAATAATACTTTTGGCATCTAGATTTCAATTTGACTCATTTTGAAAGTTTGAGTCTTTTCTTTGGATTTGAATGTAAATCCATATGAAATATCCAAATGTGTTTCTGGCTACCTACTGTATTTCAATAATTCTAAAGCATATGTTTAAAAAAATATTTTTTATTTTAATAGCTCTGAAGTCAAGATATGTCTTACAATTGATGGCATGTTATAATTTGATAGTGTTTTTCTCCTTCTTAGTAGTCTAGTAAATAATGGTGCTTCTTACAGTTGACAAAAAGTGGTATATAAAAATTTTTTGATTGTATAACATGGACATGTTCAAAAAACCTTGGGACCTATGAAATTATAAAAAAGTGATATGGAGAATCCTTAATACAATATATATACACATATATATAAAGAATGAAAGCCCTTCTTTATGCACAGGTAAAAAGACTATGTATAAAACATTAAATGCTTGAATTTATCATGAAAACGCACCTCTTTAAGATTTGCTTCAACACTGTGACCTCTTACAGCTTCTGTGTTGCCTTTTTTGCCGTTCGAAATCTCTATGTAATGAATGCAAAAAAGAAATGAAAAACTTAAATATTTATTCTAAAAGTTTCTTTGGGGAGGGGAGAGGAAGGATGGAAACTGGGTAAGTAACTTTACTGACTACCAATATGTACGAAGAAACTCTGGTGGCGTAGTGGTTAACTGCTACGGCTGCTAACCAAAAGGTTGGCAGTTTGAATCCACCAGGCGCTCCTTGGAAACTCTGTGAGGCGGTTCTACTCTGTCCTGCAGGGCTACTATTAGTTGGAATCGACCCGACAGCAACGGGTTTGGTTTATTTGTTTTTTTTTTTTTTTTTTTTTTTTTTTTTTTTAGTATGTACAAGGCACTGCAGTAGATGCTTTAAAATGGCTCTTCACAGGTTCCTCATGATAGTAGATTCAGGTAAGTTTCATCATCTGCATATTTTGACGTGAGTAAATGGGGCTCAAGGAGGCAAGTAATTTGTCTGGGGTCACATGCTGACTTTAAAGCCATGCTTCCCCCTAGTTCATGTAGCAACACAGTAGTAGGAAGTGTCCAAGGAAAACAATGAGATACCACTTTAGAGTCATTAGATTAGCAAACATTTACAAATCTGACAACACCAAATACGGGTGAAGGTGTGCAGTGACAACTGGTATGCTGCTAGGTGACAACTGGCTCCTTCAGTAAAGATGACCATACGTCTATTAACCCAGCAACTCCACACCTAGAGATATGCGCACTCTACATATGCACTAGGAATTGGGTATAAGATCACCCACGATAGCACTCTTTGTAATTGGGAAAAGTTGCAAAAAACCTAATGTCCACTACCACCAACAACAAAAAAATAACTGTGGAATACTCACACAATGGAATATTAAATAGCAATTGAAATAAAGTAACTCATTACCAAACTTGTTACCACTGAGTCAATTCTGACAGCCATAAAAATCAGCATGACTAAATCTCAGAACATAATGCTGAATGAAAAAATGAGAGGCAGAAGGTTTATATGTGAAATCCATTACCTAACATAATGCTACATATTGCTTATGGAAATGTACACAGCAAATGCAGAATAGTGGTTCTCTTTGGAGTGGGATGGAGGGGAAAGAGACTAGGATTTGGGAGGGGTATGATGAGGATTCAACTGTAACATTTAAGTTTTAATATATGACAAAACTGGGTGACAGGTATATGGGTGTTTATAATTACCTCTGCTTTACTTTTGACTGAAATATGACACAACAGGAATGTTCAGGCTATGTACAAGAGATCTGACTCCTGAGAGAAGACTCATGCAAATAGGCCACACCCAGTTTGCTACCTAATTGAGATTGCCTGTCAGAAGCTAACACACCTTACAACTGAGTACTTAGCACAGAACTCCTAGACTTCTCCTACATATTAGACGGAGCTATTTTAAGGCAAACAAACAAAAAAACCCAATAACTATTTCACTCATGATGACTCCATGTGTGTCAGGGTAGAACTGTGCTCCATATGATTTTCAATGGCTGATTTTTTGAAAGTAGATTTCCAGGCCTTTCTTCCAAGACACCTTTGGGTGGACTCAAACCTCCAACCTTCTGGTTAGCAGGTGAGCAGATTGTTTGCACCACCCAGGGACCTCATACATACATATATTTTATTGTGCTTTAGATGAAGTTTTATAGAGCAAATTAGTTACTCATCAAACAATTAATACACATTGTTTTGTGACACTGGTTGCCAATCCTGCAATGTGTCAACACTCTCCCCTTCTAGACCTCGGGTTCCCCACTTCCATTCGTCCAGCTTTCCTATCCCCTCTTGCCTTCTCGTCTTTGCCACTAGGCTGATGTGCCCATTTAGTCTCATACATATGGCTGAGTTAGGGGTATTAATGTTTGTTTATGGGCCTGTCTAATCTTTGCTGAAGGGTAAACCTCAGGAGTAATTTAAGTACTGAGTTAAAAGGGTGCCCAGGGGCTATACTCTCAGGGTTTCTCCAGTCTCTGTCAGACCAGTAAGTCTGGTCTTTTTTTGTGCGTTTGAATTTTGTTCTACATTTTTCTCCAGCTCTGTCTGGGACCCTCTATTGTGATCCCTGTCAGAGCAGTTGGTGGTGGTAGCCGGGCACCATCTAGTTGTGCTAGACTGTTTGGTGGAGGCTGCAGTCGTTGTGGTCCATTAGTCCTTTTGGCTAATACTGTCCTTGTGTCTTTGGTTTTCTTCATTCTCCCTTGATCCAGATGGAATGGTTCCAGTGGAGTATCTTAGATGGCTGCTCACAAGCTTTTAAGACGCCAGATGCTACTCATCGAAGTAGGATGTAGAATTTTCTTTATAAACTATGTTATGCCAATAGAGCTAGATGTTCCCTGAGACCATGGTTCCCACAGCCCTCAGCCCAATAATCTGGTCCCTCAGGGAGTTTGGATGTATCTATGGAGCTTCCATAACCTTGCCTTGGACAAGGTGTGCTGGTTTCCCCAGGACTGTGTACTGTCTTACCCTTCACCAAAGTTACCACTTATCTATTGTCTATTAAGTGTTTTTCCCTCCCCACCACTCCCCTCCCTTGTAACCATCAAAGATTGTTTCTTTCTGTGTGTAAATCTTTTCATGACTTTTTACAGTAGTGGTTTCATACAGTATTTGTCCTTTTGTGACTGACTGACTTCACTCAGCATAATGCCGTACAGATTTATCTATGTTGTGAGATGTTTTGCAGATTCATCATTGTTCTTTATCATTGCATAGTACTCCATTGTGTGTATGTACCATAGTTTATCCATTCATTTGCTGACGGGCACTTAGGTTGTTTCCATCTTTTAGCTATTGTGAACAATGCTGCAATGGGTATGCGTATGTCTATTCGTGTCATGGTTCTTATTTCTCTAGGATATATTCCTGGGAGTGGGATTGCTAGATCATATTATATTTCTATTTCTAGCTTTCTAAGGAAGTACCATATCGTTTTCCAAAATGGTTGTACCATTTTGCATTCCCACCAGCAATGAATAAGAGTTCCAATCTCCCCACAGCCTCTCCAGCATTTGTTATTTTCTGTTTTTTTAATTCGTGCCAGTAATGTTGGGGTGAGATGGTAGCTCATTGTAGTTCTGATTTGCATTTCTCTAACGGCTAGTGATGGCGAGGATTTCCTCATGTGTCTGTTAGCCGCCTGAATGTCTTCTTTGGTGAAATGTCTGTTCATATACTTTGCCTATTTTTTAGTTGGGTTGTCTTTTTGTTGTAGAGGCGTTGGATTTTCCCACAGATTTTAGAGATAAGACCTTTGTTTCCCAGTCTGTAGGTTCTCTTTTTACTCTTTTGGTGAAATCTTTTGATAAGCGTAAGTGTTTAATTTTTAGAAGATCTCAGTTATCTAGCTTATCTTCTGGCATTTGTGTATTGTTAGTTATGGTTTGTATCCTATTCATGCCATGTATTAGGGCCTCTAGCATTAACTCTATTATTTCTTCTATGATCTTTTTAGTTTTTGGTTTTATATTTAGGTCTTTGATCAGTTTTGAATGTTTTTGTGTATGGTGTGAGGTATCGGTCCTGTTTCTTTTTTTTACAGATGGACACCCAGTTTTGCCAGCACCATTTGTTAAAAAGACTCTCTTTTCCCCATTTAATGGGCTTTGGGCCCTTGTCGAAGATCAGGTGACTGTAGGTGGATGGATTTACATCTGGGTTCTCAATCCTGTTCCATTGGTCAATATATCTATCGTTGTACCAGGACCAGGCTGTTTTGACTACTATAGCTGTATAGTAGGTTCTGAAGTCAGGGCTTTACTTACCTGAGGCCTCTTTCCTTTCCATATAAAGTTAATGATTAGTTTTCCCATCTCATTAATGAATGCTGTGGTCATCTGGATCAGGACTGCGTTGTATTTGTAGATTGTTTTGGGTAGAACTGACATTTTCACAATGAGGGACCCCATATTTTAAAGCAAGGCACCACTTGGAGGCTGTATGGACTTAAACAAGTACCTTGACCTTGCTAAGCCTGATTTCCTCAACTACAAGTGTGATGCAGTTAACATTCACCTTACTGGATCACATGAATGAAAGCAGAGAAGGTATGCAAGATAATCGGCATATGGACTGGCACATGGAAGTCACTTAACAAACAGTAATTATAGTTAATATTAAAACTACTACTCTGAAATTCATTAACTTACCTTCTTTGTCATAAGGTTTGCTAAGAATTTCTTCATTTGTTCTTGAGTCTGAATTTTCGACCTAAACAAACAACATAAAGTTTTATTTATGAACAGTACCACAAAAAACTTGAAGGCAGGAAAAAAAAAAAAGGAAGGTAATTTACATAATCCGGCTGTTTGCTTGCGCAAATGCCAAAAGGAACTGAGGTACAGAAGCGTAAGGGCATACAGCATCTTCCTTTTCAAGAAGTTTCAGTTTAACAAATTATCACCTCACTGTATTTACTCTGTCTTTAAAATAGTTACAGCAACAGAGTAGGAAATAGGAGAGACAAAAATTTTCTGAATTCTATGAATCCCCTTCCCATCCAAAAATCCCTCTTGATTTTGTTTAAAAACTGTGAAGGATTCTGCCATAAGATTCCCTGTTTGTTGCAAATCTTGTCAATCCTACTTTATTGTTTACTGACGGGAAAGTCTCAGACTATCCTGTTGTTGTTAGTTGCTTCAAGATGACTCCGACTCATGGCAACTCCATGTACGCAGAGTAGAACTGCTCCACAGGGTTTTCAATGCTGTGACCTTCTGAAGGCAGATTGCCAGCCTTTATTCCAAGGCACCTTTGGATGGGTTCTAATGAGGGCTTTGAATCCCTGTTGAGAATTTTCATTTCCACCCCAGATACACTGAATCAGAATCTACATTTAACAAGATCCCCAGCTGATTCTTATGTATAATACATTTGAGAACCACTACTGTACTAGTGGTTCTCAGAATTGGTCCCTAACTAGCAGCATTAGTATCACATGGAACTTGTTAGAAATACAAATGCAAATTATCAGCAGGGGTTTGAAGCCCTGGTTTGAACCTGCAACCTTCTGGCTAGTAGTGAAGTACTTAACTAACTGCACCACCCAGGGACTCCTTCAGACTATCCTACAACACTCTAAATCTTAGCTACAGAGTTTCCTGATATCTGGAAAGGATAGGTTGTGCTGGGATGGGGAAAAGGCAGCTGCTGGGGGATTTGGGGGAGGGAGCCACGTGCAGTCTCCTTGATGGCTCTGCAAGGTTCAGCCACACTTAGAACCTTTCTAAGTTTTGGAAGGCAAACCTGAAATTAACCAGGTGGGGCTTTCACTTCCTTCTTATTCAGCAGACTGTGTATAAGTTTGTCCTGGAGATACAAAAGAGGGTGTTTTGATGAAGTGAGGTAAGTACTCTGATAATAAGCAAAGCTCTCCCAGTTCCTTTGGGGGCACTGGGAAGAATGTGGCTGTCTGTGATTCACAAGCATTTTACAAAATGCTCCCCACCATATGAACGCACTGAGGAAAAAAAAAAAATTCCTTCAAGTATTAAGGGAATTATGAGGGCTATATTGGGGAAAAAACACGTGTATATAACAATTATGGTTTAGTATCTTCAGAAAAAGCTTTCCAAAAACATGAAGCCAATGCTAATTTGCAAACTAAAATCTATTTCGTCTACAGGACCACACTGATTTAAGGCATCAAAATCCAATTTTTAATCCTATTATAATATTAAAAAATAGAAAATTGATAGTGCTTTGGAGAGTTTTTATTAGCATTACTAGGATAGTTTCCTCCTCTGATGTAAATGAGCCTTCTTCAATTTCCTTAGTTCTGTTTTATGAGAGAAGTTGTGAAGAATAACCTTTTTGGATGTCAGCCTAAAGAGGCTCTAGAAATACAGTGCTGCTGAATTCAGAATGACTCTTTTTCTAAGGAAAACTCAATTTCTTGACATCAACGGATAAAGGTGAATGTGGAAAAAATTAAGTAAAAGCTGCTAACAATACGTTGAACTTGAGTGCAGAGGAATGGCCACCTGTCTCCTAAAGAAATGCAGACATTCCATCCACCCAGACGGCACTGCCTCATTGCTCTCAAAAAACAAAGCAAAACAAAACCAGCCCAAATAAGGAGAACACCAAAACCAAAACCAATACAGTGGTCTTACATTTAGTGATTCAGTCACCAGAGAAGACTCCCTCGGTGGTCCAACTGTTCAAAAAAAAAAAGGAAATTTAATATTGTTTCTGAACTAGAGTAACAAAGTTAAAAATTTGCAGGGTAGTTAAATAGGATTATGTCGTAAGCGGCCTAGTTGCCTTTGTAAATTGTAAAACACTGACCAATTATTTTCTACAATCTGTGTTCTGTCATACTACCAGAAAAACAACAGGAATTAACGTTGCTTGCAGTTTTACAATAATGGCAACTGAAACCAAACCAAGCCTGTTGCCGTCAAATCAGTTCTGACTCACTGCTACCCTACAGGACAGAGTAGAACTGCCCCATGGAGTTTCCAAGGCTGTAAATCTTTATGGAAGCAGAATGCCACATCTTTCTCCTGTGGAGAGGCTGGTGGGTTCGAACCGCCAACCTTTTGGTTAGCAGCCGAGTGCTTAACCACTGAGCCACAAGGACTCCTTGAACAATAGTAGTGGTCCATTAAGTCACAACAGTAATTTAACTCTGCTGGTGATCTGAAACTTAGAGAAAAGGTGAAAGACCTGTTACTGTAACTGTTAAGCTGCAGTGTAACACTGCTTCATTTAAAAATAACACCATCAAAAAAAGTTAGACCCTATCCCCTCAAACAGCAATGGTCTGTTTATACTCCTTGGAAACTTGAAGTACAAGGTCTACTGTTTCTACTCAACAATGACAGAACACACATTTTTCTTTCAAACAACTTCCTTTTACGTAAGTAGATCTCTTATTGAGCTGTATCTAAACACAGTAAAGCAATCTGAAATATAACTGTTGGAACAGGATTTTAGAATCCAAAAATGTTGCCCTTTTGACAATTAACAGATAAGATGTTAATTATTTGTACTATGAAACACCACTGAAACAAATTTTAACCAATGCATCTGTGAGTTTTGGACAGACTAGTTATCTTCAGGGTTTAACAGGTCAGCATAAGCAGCTTGACAGGTCTTGGTGTGGTCTTCCAGCACTGGCTGATAAGGTCACATACTTCGAAGGTTTCCTTTCAGATTATTCTATCCAGGAAGGTCCCTCCCTCGACCTCCCACCAGACAGCCATGGGTGAAGATTTATATACACTGCTCATAGCATCTGAATGACCCCACCTCCAGTGCCCGTCTCTTTGCCTTGAACCCATAAACCAAACCTCTTGCTGTCAAATCCATTCCAACTCATGGCAACCCCATGTGTTACAGAGTAGAATTGCTCCATAGGATTTTCTAGGCTGTAATCTTTGTGGAAGTAGACCGCTAGGCCTTTCTTAAGTGGTCTTGCTGGTAGATCTGAAGTGCCAACCTTCAGGTCAGTAGTTGAGTGTGAACAGTTTGTGTCACCCAGGGACCTCCCTGACAACCTACTGTACCCTTCAAAATGTGGCTCAAAATTAGGGGGGATGACAAATGTTTATCAAGATTCAACAATTCACGTTTATGTATATATCCTGTTGAAATACTTGGGGAAACTCATATAGCTATATGCATAAGGAAGTTAATTACAACTTTATGTATAATAGAATAATTAGAGATGACCAAAAGATCTAACAAACAGGATCATTCTTGCTATTAGAATAAACGAAGTGGATCTGTATACACTGACAATATGAGATGCCCACAATATATAGCTGAGTGAAAAAAAGAAATTATAGAACAATATAAACATTATGATTTCATTTTTGTTTAAAATACTTAATTGTATTGAAAGTGGTTACCCATGGGTAGTGGGGAACTTTATTATGTACTTCTATACATCTTCCAAACCAAACCAAACCTGTTGCCGTCAAGTCAATTCCAACTAATAGTGACCCTATAGGACAGAGTAGAACAGCACTGCAGGGTTTCCAAGGCGGTAATCTTTACCAAAACAGACTGCCACATAACTCTCCCACAGAGCGGATGGTGGGTTCAAACTGCTGAACTTTTGGTTACCAGCCGAGCACTTAACCACTGTACCAGGGCTCCTTTTATATATTACATTCTATAATTAAAGGATGGGTGATTAGGAGAGAGAGATTAGTTCAGCTTAAACAGGACTTCCCTGAGGCCATACCTTGCAAAGCTGAACCCGACAGACAAGTCTGTGTCTTCATTACAGCACCTTACTCATTTGCACAACCATCTGAGGGCAGAGACTGCATTCTCCATCTTGCTTTCACTAGTACTCACAAGTACCTGGCTTAATAATATTTGTCAGGGGAATCATTTAAAGAGCTGAGCTGATGAGCTGAGGATCATAGACATCATGGCTATCTTTCCTGCCTCTTGCCCAAGAGCCCAGACTGCGGTCTGGGGCAGCATGAGGTTCCAGAGATACCTACTCTACTCTTGCCCCAGGAACAGAGCACTTGACTTAAGTCAACCATCAAGTTACATTCCTCTGGTCACAGTAATTAGTTTAGGGTGGACACGTGTATCTAAGCTAAATCAGAATAAGTCTCAGGATTTAGGCCAGGAACATAGGACAAAGATTTTCTTAGAGGCTATGAATGAGAAAGCAATTACCTGTGTGTGTGGTGGGAGAAGATTTAAAAAAAAAAAAAAAAGAAAACTGGTTCACTGTTAGATGTGTTTGTGGGGATATCAGCATGCTACGTATCAGCTTTGCCTGAACTTTTCAGTTTTGTGAGCTAATAAACTTAAAGTAAGTTTTTGTATGGTTCTCTGTTACTTGCAACCAAAATCACCCTGACTATTCCACCTCACTAGCATCAGCATTTCAACATTAAAAAAAAAAAAGGAGAATTGTCTTAAATTTGGGCATATACTCTAAAGTTCTTAGTATTTTTTTTCTCCTAGTTAATGTGTGAATCAGAAGAAAATATGCAATAATAACTAGAGTACCAACTAGAAATAATCCTTCATTGTCATGATTCTTATTTCCATTTCTCTAACCCAGTGATAAAGATCAAAGACTACAGCTTTAAATGTGCATTACACTCCAACAAAAAGAAGACAAAAATCCCCACAGCTGGACCACCAAGTAACATCATAATAAACACAGAAAATACTGAAGTTGTCAAGGATTTCATTTTATTTGGATCCACAATCAACACCCATGGAAGCAGCAGTCAAGAAATCAAATGCCGTATTGCACTGGACAAATCCGCTGCCAAAGGCCTCTTTAAAGTGTTAAAAAGCAAAGATCTCACTTCAAGGACTCAGGTATGCCTGACTCAAACCATAGTATTTTCAATTGTCTCATATGCATGAGAAAGCTGGACAATGAATAAGGAAGACTGTGGGGGAATTGATGCCTCTGAATTATGGTGTTGGTGAAGAATACAGAATATACCATGGACTGCCAGAAGAACGAACAAATCTTTCTTGGAAGAAGTACAGCCAGAATGTTCCTCAGAAGCAAAGATGGTTGAGATTTCATCTCATGTACTTTGGACATGTTATCAGGAGGGGCCAATCCCTGGAGAAGGACATTATGCTTGGTAGAGGATCACCGAAAAAGAGGAAGACCCTCAATGAGATGGACTGACACAGCGGCTGCAACAATGGGCTCACACACTGCAATGACTGTGAGGATGGCGCAGGACCGGGCAGCGTTTCATCCTGTTGTACACAGCGTCGCTATGAGTTGGAACAAACTCAATGGCAGCTAACAACAATAATCCAGTGGTTGTCAAAATGTAGTCCAGGGACACAACAGAGTCCCTGATGGAGCAGGAGAAAGGTGGAGTACAGAACTCAAATTCTAGTAAGAAGACCAGACTTAATGGTCTGACTGAGACTGGAGGAACCCCGGAAAGCTTGGCCTCTGGATTCTCTTATCAGCCCAGAACTAAAACAACGTCCGAGGCCAACTCTTCAGACAGGGATTGGACTGGACTCTGGGATATAAAGTTATACTCATGAGGAGTGTGCCTCTTAGCTCAAGCAGGTACAAGAGACTAAACGGACAACTTCTGTCTGGAGGTGAGATGGGAAGGCAGAGAGGGTTAGAAGCTAGTAGAATAGACATGGGGAATTGGGTGGAAAGGAGGTGTGTGCTATCACAGTATGGGGAGAGCAATTAGGGTCACATAACAATGTATGTAAAAATTTTTGTATGGGAGACTAATTTGAAATGTAAACTTCATTTAAATTACAAGAACAAACAAACAAACAAAAAAATGTAGTCCAGGGAACACCTGCTAGTTCGTGAGACCTTTCTTCAAGGGGTCCACAAAGTCAAAACTATTTTCATATTAACAGCAAGATGTTATTTGCCTTATAAACTAATGGGTGTATAACGGAATTTTCCAGAGGCCACATGAAGTACCCACAACTATCTGACAGGCTATTAATTCTCCTTTTTCTATCACATATCTGTGATGTTGGATTTTCCTCAGATTCTATAACCAAAACAACAGAGTAGCAGAATGAAGCAGATATGAATCCAGCTGTTTCCTATTAAGCCAGACTTAAAGAGATCTGCAAGAATGTAAAACGATGTTACTTTTCTCACTAAATTTTGTTATTTTGGAAAAATCTAGCTATTTTCATGAACAAAAATATTTGTTAATTTACAGTGAATTGATTACTGTTACTTTTATACAAATTGATATGTATTTATTTTCAAAATTTCTCAGTTTTAGTTTCTTATTTGGTAAATATCAACAGACTTAATTCATATAACATAAGCTCTGTGGGAGTCTTGAATTGTTTTCAAGAATGTAAAGTGGTTCTTGAAGAAAAAGAACAAAGTAGGAGGCCCTGCAGTACCTGACCTCGGAACCTACTATACAGCTATGGTAGTCAAAACAGCCTGGTACTGGTACAACGACAGACACATTGACCAATGGAACAGAATCAAGAACCCAGACGTAAATCCATCTACCTACAGCCACCTGATCTTTGACAAAGGCCCAAGTCCATCAAATGGGAAAAGACAGTCTTTTTAACAAATAACGACGGCAAAATTGGGTGTCGGTCTGTAAAAAAAATGACACAGGACTCATAACTCACACCATACAGAAAAACTAATTCAAAATGGGTCAAAGACCTAAATATAAAACCAAAAACTGCAAAGATCATGGAAAAAAAAAGTAGAGTCAACACTAGAGGCCCTAGTATATAGCATAAACAAGATACAAACCATAATTAACAATACATAAACACCAAAAGATCAGCTAGATAAATGGGATCTTGTAAAAATTAAACACTTATGCTCATCAAAAGACTTCATCAAAAGAGTAAAAAGAGAACCTATAGACTGGGAAAAAACTTTTAGCTATGAAGTATCTGACAAAGGTCTAATCTCTAAAATCTACAGGAAAATCCAACACCTCTACAGTAAAAAGACAAATAATTCAATTAAGAAATGGGCAAAGGATATGAACAGGCACTTCACCAAGGAAGACATTCAGGTGGCTAACAGATACACAAAGAAATGCTTAAGATCACTAGCCATTAGAGAAATGCAAATCAAAACTACAATGAAATACCATCTCACCCCGACATTACTGGCACAAATCAAAAATACAGAAAATAACAAATGTTGGAGAGTTTGCGAGAAGACTGGAACTCTTATGCACTGCTGGTGGGAATACAAATTGATACAACCATTTTGGAAAAGGATATGGTGCTTCCTTAAAAAGCTAGAAATAGAAATACCATACAATCCAGCAATCCCACTCCTAGGAATATATCCTAGAGAAATAAGAGCCTGTCACATGAATAGACATGCGCATACTCATGTTCATTAAAGCATTATTCACAACAGCAAAATGATGGAAACAACCTAAGCGCCCATCAACAGATGAATGGATAAACAAACTATGGTACATACACACAACGGAATACTACCCGACAATAAAGAACAAATGATGAATCTGCAAAACATCTCACAATATGGATGAACCTGGAGGGCATTATGCTGAATGAAATAAGTCAATCACAAAAGGATTAATACTGTATGAGATCACTATTATAAAAACACATGAAAATGTTTCCACACAGAAAGAAACAATCTTTGATGGTTACGAAGGAAGGAGGGATGGGGAGGGAAAAACACTAACTAGACAATAAATAAGTGGTAACTTTGGTGAAGGGTAAGACAGTACACAATACTGGGGAAGTCAGCACAATCTGACCAGGGCAAAGTCACAGAAGCTTCACGGACACGTTCAAACTCCCTGAGAGACCGAGCTGCTGGGCTGAGAGCTGGAGTCCAGAGTCTCAGGGGACATCTAGCTCAACTGGCATAACATTGTATATAAAGAAAATGTCCTACAACCGACTGTGGTGAGTAGTGAGTGGGGTCTCAAAAGCCTGCAAGCGGCCATATTAAGATACATCTACTGTTCCCATCCTGGCTGGAGCAAAGGAAAATAAAGAAGACCAAAGACATAAGGGAAAGACGAGTCCAAAGGACTAATGGACCACAACTATCGCAACCTCCAGACTGAGCCTGTAACTAGATGGTACCTGATTACCACTGATTACCACCACCAACTGCTCTGGCAGGGATCACAATAGAGGGTCCTGGACCGAGCAGGACAAAAACGTAAAACAAAATTCAAATTCACACGTACAAAAGACCAGGCTTGCTGTCTGACAGAGACTGAGGAAACACCAACAGTATGGTCCTGGGCACTCTTTTACCTCAGTACTGAAGTCACTCCTGAAGGTCACCCTTCAGCTAAATATCAGACAGGTATATAGGGCCAACGATAACACATGTGATGGTCATGCTTCATAGTTCAATCATATGTATGAGACTAATGGGTACGCCAGCCCAAAAGGAAAGATAAGAAAGCAGGAAGAGACAGGAAAACCGGACGAATGGAAATAAGGAACCTGGGGTGGAGAAGGGGAGAGTGTTGACATGTCATGGGGCCAGCAACCAATGTCACAAAACAATTTATGTATTAACTGTTTAATGAGAAACTAATTGGCTCTGTAAACTTTCACCCAAATCACAATTTAAAAAAAAAAAAAAAAAAAAGAATGTAAAGTGGTTCTGAGACCAAAAGGTTTAAGAGGTGCTGCCACAGTCCTTTCTGATACTTGGCTCTCAGGTCTTTACTTCTATAAAAAAATCTGCAGTTGATGATAGTGTGTTGCTACAGCATGGCTGAGCAGGATCAGGACGAAGAAGAGGCTATGCAAGGTGAGAGTAATTTCACTGGAGTCACTGAAGCAAAAGTCAGAGTCCAAGGGCCAAGAGTGAATGGTTTAAAGAAGTGAGAGCATGGGCTACAGAGAGACGGATATCATGCTTGGTAGAAGGTCGAAGAAAGAGAAGAAGACCCTCAACAGATGGAATGACACAGTGGCTGCAACAATGGGTTCAAACGTAACAACGATTGTGAGGATGGCAGAGGACCGGGTGGTGTTTCGTTCTGCTGTAAACAGAGTCGCTGAGTCAGAACTTGCTCAACAGCACCTAACAACAACAGAACCTGGAAGGGCAGAAAGGGCACTGGAAAAACATTTTTATGGAATACAGCAAGAGTTTGCTCCAAAACTACTCTCTTTTTGCCACAATTACTTGGAGATAACAAATTTAAACATAAAATTTGATTGGCATTTAATGAGAAAAAATGTTAAAAATGTCATAGTAAAGAATCTTCTTTAACCTATTTCAAAAAGTGAGAGGTAAATTCATATAGCCTGTCTGTTTTACTACAAATGCTGTTGTTGGTAGCTTCCATCGAGTCGGCTCCCAACTCATGGAGACTCCACACACAACAGAACAAAATGCTGCCTGGTACTACACCATTCCCATGATTGGTTGATTCACAGGGTTTTTGCTGGCTGCTTTTCAAATCACCACGCTTATCTTCCTAGTCCATCTTAGCCTGGAAGCTCCGCTGAAACCTGTTCAGCATCATAGCAACACATAAGCCTCCACTGACAGATGGGTGACGGCTGTGCATGAAGTACACTGGCTGGGAATCAAACCCAGGTCTCCCACATGGTAGGTGGGACTTCTACCACTAAATCACCACTTAAGCTGCAAAAAAAGGTAAGACACATGCAAGAAAAAATATAAAAAAATCTGAACAACTCCTAAAAGGAGCTTACCGACTCCACTCTGTTTTTCCACACAGGCACTTTCTGGTGGTGCTAGAATTTCAGTTTTCTCCTCCTCTGAAGGCTCAAGTGTCTAAAAAATCCAAAGCACCAGAGAGGTAAATTAACTGAGGCTTTCACAAGAAGAAGGCAAGACTGACCTCAAGTCAATTAAAGAAACAAAAAAATCAACATCTTGTAACAATATAAAAGTATACTTTCAAGTCTGTGCAAAATTTAAAAAATGAATACTTGCTAGACTTTAAAAACAAACAAAAAAATCAATCTAATTTCATATTTCATCCATCAATGGCCCTCCTACTGCTTTCAAAGTAAAAGTCCAGCTTAGCACAGCACAAGGTCCTTCACGATCGGGTCCCCCTCCCTTTCGAAGCTTAAGTCTCACCCCAGAGCACTCTGACCCACTGCAGTGCCTGGGCCACACCACGGGCCCTCCCCTCTCTGTGCCTAGAACACGCTGCTCCCTTTGCCAGGAAGACTCGTTTTCCTTTCTCCTCTGGCAAACTCCCATTCTACTTTCAAAATTCAACTCAAGCGTCCTCCTTGGCAAGCCTTCTCGTCTGCCCGCTCATTGCCCCTGCTGGGTAAGTTCTATCTCCTCTGCATTGTTCATAGCCCATTTACTGCTATCTTATCAAATATACTCTGAGGGTGCCACAGATGAAGTTGGAAAGAGGGCATGGAGTCTAAATTATATAAGGCACAGAGGCCATGGGAAAAAAGTCTACATTTTATTCTTAGTGCAGTGGGAAGCTACCAAAAACTTTAAGCAATGACTCCACCTCATTTACGTCTCTAAAGCTTACTCTCACTGCTATGTGAATCACAGACTAGAGGAGGGGCTCGAGGGGAAGTCAAAGCCTAATGGGGAAGCTACTGAAGTAGTGGGTTAGCACAGGGTTGTAGCTGCAGAAATTGAGTGAAATAGATGTGTTCAAGGTCTACTTTGGAAATGGACATACAAGAGCTGGTGATAAACTAAATGTGGGGTGACAGTGAGGAACTGAGAGTGACTTCTAGATTTCTGGCTTAAGTAAATGGAATGGATGACAGTATTATTTACTTTACTATTGAGGTTCTTAGCTTCACCCCACCCCCATCAGGATGTGACAATACTTAAGTGTCTTAAGTACCATGAGAACAAGAGCTATATATCGCTTAAGTATACATATGTGCATATGGTGAAATGGTACTTACACCATTTACAGTTCAGCATAACTGAATCATCAGCCATACCTCAGTTTTCAAGTTGGTTTTCAGTTCCAATCCTCCCAAAGCATGCGGTGGAGACTCTTCATTGCCTAATGAAATTCAAACCATTAATCCAATTTAAGACTTCACTTATAAAATACATTCTGAATCAAAAGGTAATGGAATGCTGTTACCAGGCATGTCAAGCCCCCTTTCTCTGTTGTTTCCTTTTGCTGTCAGTAGGAAATAATAAAAAGGAATATGTGGCATAGAAAGGATCTTGGCTAAGCGGCAGGGGCCATTTACTCATTTTCTAGGGGTAAAACCATTTCATGCTTGCATAGAAAGATGGCTGCCCAGGAAGAATGATAAAATATTATTTGTAGAGATATCTTATTTCTAAGTATTTATCTATGGTGATTGGCACCAGGTTTTTCCCTAAAAGCAAAAATTCTGGGTCACTGAGGTATATTCTCAATAAAGAAGCTGATTTATGAATAGGTTCACTCTACTTGCTTCACGCTAACACAGCAAAATTGAAAATAAAGCTAAAAAACTGTAAGGCAGACAAAAATGCAAGTGGAATTTTCCCTGATGGAGACTCAGTTCTACCCTGGTCATGTGTCTTTTCTCTCTCCCTTGTCCTTCTGTTTGTTGCTTCTCCAGTTTCCCTCATCTGCCCATGTATAAACCTCCCAAGAAAGCCCTTCCTCTCTCCAGAAAGCTGTAGTCTTTTCCTTGCTAAAAGCCAATCTCCTTCAAGGATAAACAAAAACAAAACAAAAAAAATGGGGGTGGGGTAGAGGGAAGTAGCCTGTTGCAATGACCTAGTCATACAAACTTTCAGAACACTCAATTTACCCCAGGCCGAAATCAACAGAAAAATTTAAAGTTACCTATTCCAACCTTCGGAACATTTCCTACCTGAGTTCCTATGACAACCAAAACCAAACCAGTTGCAGTTGAGTTGATTCTGACTCAATGTGACCCCATGTGTGTCAGAGTAGAACTGTGTTCCATGTGGCTTTCAACAGTTGAGTTTTTGGAAACAGACAGCCAGGCCTTCCTTCCGGGCCATGTCTGGATGAACTCAAACAGCCAACCTTGTAGTTAGCAGCTGAGGGCTTAACCATCTGAACCATCCAGGGAGTCTCTATAATAAACAGGACTAAATCTACTGGCCTTAGGTGCCTAGAGCTGGACTAGATCATATCTAAGGTCTGTTCCAGTTTAAAAGTCCAGGATGCCACCATTTACAAAGCCAAAGCGCAAAAGAGATCAAGTCCCCTGACCCCTTTAAGTCCAGCCTCTGTGCTCCCTAAGTTCGTACAGCATCCTGTGCTTCACCCCCTCCTCAGCGCTCATCACTTTACAATATCACTGCCCGCTTCTAACACTTCCACCTTCTCGTCATGTTAGTTGATCTCTGCATCCCCACGGCCTTGCACTGTACCCAGTAGAAAGTACCTGAAGTTGGGTGGCATAGTGAATGGTTGTGGTCAAAGGCTAGACCTTTGAGAGTTACCACCTATTCTAACAAGACCAGCACTCTCTGAAATCTGTCAGGAGTCAACAAGTTTCTTTTCTCTCTCAAACAAACTCATTCTAACTGAAAAATAAACTTAAAAAAAATTAATATGCTCTCTTGATTAGAAGTAGCCAACCAGACTTAACTGATGCATCCTGCAAATCTATAATGTCAGACTGGGGTCAGAAAGATGCTTGTTTTTGTCTCGTCTCCCCATTTGATAAAACAGAAAACCGAGGCTCAGAAGTTTTGTTTCTAATAGGCACCCAAGTGCCATGCAAGTTATTTCAACTCTCTGAACCTACTTCCTCATTTGTGAAATGTGAGTGATAAAAAATAATTCTCTCAGAGTTGTTGGAAGGTATCCTTCATTATGTTAAGATAAGAAACCTGAGGGTCAGGGAGGGTTAGAAGTTTGCCCCAGTTATGTAGACACCAACTAGCTAGTGGACCCTTACTATCCCCCAGCTCCTGCCTCTTCTTTCCTTGCACCTGAGAAATGGGTCTAAGGTTTTAAGCTTTTAAACATGAGTATAATTTAGAGAAGCTTGACTTCCAAGTTATCTAAGTTATCTAAGTTATCTAAGAAAAACATTTACATTGATATCATTCTGAAAACAAACCATGTTTTGGAAGGCTGTCTTACATGAGCTCTGTGTACCTTTGGAAAACTTTAAAATTTACTTATTAGAAACACATTCTCACCTATTTCACACACATTTCCTTCAGAAGAAACGGTGACCAGAAATAGGTCTCCTTCCTCTTGTAATGATTTGGTCATGCCATTTCCATCTCCCGTTTTCCCACTAGAAGCTTCAGCAGTCCGTTTGCCACTAGGGTCACTCTTCACAGTCAAGTCTTGCTCACTTTTTGGAGTGGACAAAGCTACATCATTGGCAGCTGGGAGGATTGTTGCACTGGAAGGAGCGATTTCTGACTCTTGCCCATTGATACATTCGGTGGTGGTGGTTTTCAAGTGGTCCTCAGGCCCTGGTTGGCCTGCTGCAGCGTCTTGGGTATCTGGCAGGTTAGCTTTTTTAGTACTGGTATTTACTACTGTCAAGCAATGAATACTGACAGAGGAGTCCTCAGCCATCTGCCCAGATGCTTCTTCCGGTCCCTGCAGATTGAGGAGGGAGCAAGCACTTATCTTTAAGTCCCTTCTGGTTGAATAACTTGCTGTGCTGCTACTCCCTGCCATGCCGGCCTCCTGGCTTTTATCTTCTCTCTGAACAGAGCTCAATGGTACATTCCTGTCTCCTGTGTTTACGAGGCTCAAAGCATTCTCACGTTGTCCTCTTTCTGCAAATGGGACCTTGCCAGAACAGTCCTCGCCATGTCTGTCTTTTTCTCCTACAACTGCAGCACTTGGCTGGCCTCCTGCTGCAGACAGCATGCTGATGGATGTGCTCTCATGCCCCTCCTTGGTGCTTCCTGCCATCATAGGGTCCACTTCTTTTCCTCCTGTGAAAGGCTCGGGACACTGATGGCTATGCTCTGCAATTAGGCTGGGCGTAGGGACAGCACGCTTGCTTACCTTTGCAGCTGACAATGCTGGTAGGTAATCGTTTCCTTCTGGGTTGTTTGCAGTGAGCCGATTCTCTTCATGTCTGTCCAGGCTGGCGACGATCAGTGCACATTCTGCTGTGCTAGTAGAGATGATGGCAGTGTCACTCAAGTCCTCCACTCGTGCAATCGTGGGCTGATCCTCATCCTGCAGGACAGCACTAATCATGATCGCTTCACATCCCTCGGAGGTGCTTGTGGAAATCATGGCAGTGTCACTGATCTCTTCTGCTGGTGTGACAGATGGGTGGACTTCCTCCTGGGGGGCTGCACTGGACACGGGGCCTTCACAGTCCTCTACTGAGCTGGTTGAGATGATAGCACTCCCATCTTTTTCTTCCATGACTGTAACAGATCGCTCGTTTTCACTTTCAACAGCTACACCAGAAATAGAGGCCTCACATTCTTCTGCTATGCTTGTGGAAATGAGGGCACATTCATCTTTTTCTTCCTTGCTGGTTGAGGCAAGAGGACTTTCAACTTCTGTGGGTGCACTGGGCATAGGTGCCTCAAAGTCCTCAGAGCTTTCTGAAGGACCTTTGTCTCTTTCTTCAACTGTTGCATCTAGTTGTTGACTTTCAGCAGATTTGATGGTTGTCACACTAGAAATAGGCACTTCGAACTCTTCCCCTATGCTTGTGGAAATCATGGCGCACTCATCTTTCTCTTCATTTCTAGTAGCAGTGGGCTGGCCTTCATCCGAAACTGCACTGGGCATGGGGGCCTCAAATTCTTCCACATTTATTCTAGCATCTTCCACATTTTCTCCAGTTCTCAGAGCACTTGAATGGCCTTCTTCCACATTTACAATCATGCTTAGCTGAGTGGTGTAATCATTTGTTGTACTGGTGGAAATCATCAAGCCTTTTCCTTGACTTTTACCCCCAGCTAAACTATTCTGGTTGGTAATACCATCACTGGCTGTAGTAGCCATGAGACCATCACACTCTTCATTTTCTACAGAGGTTATGAAGCCCTCATCTTCTTTTTCACTTGATGTGTGATCAACTTCACATTCTGGAACGGCACCAGATATAAGAACTTCATAACTGCCCCCAACCATGCCAGTGGAAATGGTGGCATCTTCAACTTTTTCCTTCCTGGTGAACTGACTGTCACTTTGATCTGAAGCTGCACTAGTCATGGGACCCTCACAAGCTTCAGGAACTGGTGCCACTTCACCCTTTCCTGAAACTGCACTGGTCACACTGCTTTCTACAAACCCTTTAGCACTTGAGCAGATCTCTGTATCTTTAATTTCCTTCCCTGCACCACTCATGCTATCAACATTGCTTTCATTTGCGTTTACGATGGCCGCTCCTGCCTCAGCTTCCACATGTTCTACTGCAGTACCAATCTGACTGTTCCCTTCTGCACTTTCGCAAATCAATGCCCCTTCACTTTCTTCTATTTCTGTGCATGTTGAAGCATGTCCAATTTCATTTCCTCTTCCGGTACTAGTTACAATACCCTCACCTTCATCATCCTCCTCTTTTGCACCTGTGCTGGTTACAATGCCTTCGTCATCACAAGGACCAGCAGCAGCGACTAATGGCACATTAGTGACTTCTTTGGCTACTGTGCTGTCCATTGCATTCTCTCCATTTTCTTCTGATTCAGAACTCAGAGCAAAGCCTTCGCTGCTCTCTTCTGAACCTATGCAACTTGCTGGCCCCTCTCCATCTTCTTCTGTTATTCCTGTGCTGGTGACTGCACTTTCACCTTCTGTACCGTCATTCACTGAACCATCTCCTTCTTGGTTGGCACTTGTTGCAGGTGGGCCATCATTATCTACCAGTACCACATTTGCACCTGTGACCATGCGCTCCTCCTGTGGCCCTGCACCAGTTACTGAGCAGATAACAAAGTTATCACTTCTTCCTTCTGCTACTGTGCATGTCACAGTGCCCTCAGTTTCCTTTTTGGGGCCCAGTCTTGTCATAATTTTCTGGAATTCCTCTACCTCTTCACTGCTTAAGGATCCTTCTCTTATTTCTGTTCCAGCACTTGTTACTGCTCCATCACTTTCAACTTCACTAATAAATGTAACAGTTCCTTCAACTATTTCAGAGTCTCTATTTGAAGAACCGTCACATTTTTCTTCAGAGCCAGCACTGGTTACAGCATCATCTTTTTCTTCTGTTCCAACACTGTTCACATTATCCTCAATTTTACCTATGTGGACAGTCACTGGAGCTGCTGTTCTTTCTTCAGATTCAGCCATGGTACACTCTCCACTTTCTCCTTCCTTGGTGCTCGTAAGGAAAGTTTCACTCTCAGCAAATCCCTCTGTGACAACACCCCCACCTTCTTCAGCTGCAGCAAATACAGTACACTCACTGGGTTCTGCCCCAACATGAAGACGGTTGTTTCTGGAGCAGGCACCTGTTACGAAGCCTTCGTCTGCCTCAATGCTTGTGCAAGGCAAAGCCACCTCACTGTCTCCTGTTTCTGAAGAGGTAGTCGTGGCAGCCCCCGTCTTTACTGAGCTTAAGGTAACAGCTTTGTCCTTCCCTTCAGTACTAGTGGCAATAAAAGTCTTTTCTGGTCTACCAGACCCAGCTGTCACATTCTCAGCTGTTTCATTCCTTTGGTGTAAAACAGAGGATGCGTTATCACCTCCAGCACTGGTGTCTACTTCACTGTTTTCATTCCTCCTTTCACCATCAATAGATAGGTTTTCCATTTCACCTGGGCCTCTATTTATGCTTATTTTTTCGGTAAGTTCAATACTTTCAGCATCTTTTTCTGTAGTTATGCCTACCACATGATCAACAGCAACGCCATCCTTTTTGCCATTATCTACTGTAGATCTAATGTTCTCCTTTAAACTGGGCTTTGTGATTAAATCACTTTCTTTCTTGGCCATGTCTGTTAAGACAACTTCTTTGTTAACATCTGCGTTTCCCACAGCCATGTCCGTTGACTTGCTACCATGAGGCTTATTTACTTTTCCTTGTTTACTGTGCAATAAAGCAGTCTGAGAATCTTCCGGAATGTGTCTTATGCTATCTATGCTTGCTTTTGTTGGTGTATCTACCGTGGAACCTTCACCATCTTCTTTGCTGTCACTTGTCTGAGGGACTTCTGAGTCCCCAAGAGTCAAACTTTGATTAGGGATAGCAGAGTGGTCCAGAAGTGAGGTGCTAGCTGCACCACTTTCTAAAACAGTTCTTTTGTTAGCTAAAGGAATTACATCTGAATCATGAGGCCCCTTCTGAGGCACAACAGTCACTGAGCTTAAGGGCGGTGAGGGGTCTGAATTTGTGGAATGTTCAAGAGCAGCATCTCCTTGAGCAACATGTTCTTCAGTGGGTTTGGACATGTTTTTCAAATTCTTTTGTATACTATCATTTTCTGATGGGGCACTAGGTAACATTCTATGACTAGTTTCACAGTCTACATTCATTTCATGAGTTCCTTGCTGAATGGCTTCTTTCTCCTCAGGATTCGGTTTGGAAACAGCACTTTGGATGTGAACTTTCTTGGTCAGAGTGCTTTTGTGGCCAGCGTGCTTTTCAGAATTACCAAGAACCATTCCGCGTCCTGACTTACAGGCTAAGGCTGCTGTTCTTAAATCTACTGTGGAAGTTCTTAATTCTTCTTTTAGAAGTGTAGATGTAGTTTTTTGTTTCATAACATTCTCAGAGTCAGTATCTTGCTGAGAACCATTATTGCTGCTGTCTTGGGTTTTAGATACTATAGAAACATTTTCAACGGATGACTCAGAATCAACTTCCATTGGCTCTTGTTTGGGTATCAATGTGGCATCGCCACTTTTTTTTGGTCTCTGAAGGGAGGAAATACTGGAAGTGCCCAAAGTGTTTGCTGCTAATTTTTCTTCTCCTTTGGTCACTTCTTGTGATAAGCTTCCTCTTCGATTTTCATACAACCTCCTACTTAATTTCTTTTCCACTAAACTATTCCCTTTGGCCTTTTCATGGTTACTGTCAACTTCTTTACCATCCTTGTCATCTGATTTATTTTCTTCCCTCTTCTTCACATCCTTACCACTATGCTTTAAGCTTCTGCTTTTGTGCCCATCTGATAATCTTCTCTCAAGTCTGGAGGAGCTTGAATCTTTATCACCCTTATATTTCTCCTTTGCTAGTGATAACTTAGCTCTGTGACTGGAATCTTTCTGTGCAGTGTGTGCTGAAGAAGAAGCACTCTCCAACACAGACTCGACTCCAGCTTCTTCACAAGGTTTGTCCTCACTTTTAGACTTTCGCTGTTTATCTGAGTCACTTTCTTCAGTGTTCTTCTCCTTGTCAGGTTTAGGGGTGGTCGCCTGTTTTGTGACACTTTCTTGTAATTCTATTTCAATCCCTTTTAACTGTTTGCCTTGACTTTTTGATTTAGATTTTAACACAAGTCTCTCTTCTAACAAGCTCTTTGTTCTTCGCTTTTCTTTGTGAACAGCCTCTTCTGGTTTTAAATTAATATCTAAATTGGTTGAGTCCATATCACACTTATCTTCTGAATAACTTTCACTTCTTTTTTGTAATGTGATACCATGTTGCTTGGAACTCAGAGTCTCTTTCTGAACTTTAGAATCACTTGATCTTCTTGATTTGTGCTCTGCTTTAGTTTTCTCGGCTGACACGTGTCTCTCTTTTTTATTGTTTTCTTTACGAACATTCTCATCTGATTTTATAATATATTCAGAAACTGGCTTACCATCTTTGCCCAAAACTGATAATTTCCTTTCATTCCTATGTTTACTTTTTCGGTCAGCTTTATCATCTGAAAAAAGCTTTGTTTGCTGACTTTGCTTTTGAATATTTTCATCTGCTTTTAAACCTTTCTCAGAAGAATGAAGCTCAGCCTCATCACCTGTTTTATGTACACTGTCACCTTTATATTTATGCTTCACAGACAATTTGTCTTCTGACAGAGTTTTCTCCTTCTCAGGCTTCTCCTTGGAGGATTTCACCTCTTTCTTAGGTAGGCTCTTCGAATGTGGTGTCTCAGAATCATCCTTCTTTAGATGCCTTTCGTTTTTAAGTGTGCTTTTCTGTTTCTGTGGTTCTTCTGTGCCAATTTCTGAACGTTCCACTTGCCTTTTTCCATCTCTCACGTCAGTCTCTTCCTGCGCTCCTTCTACCACAACAGGGGTAGATGTCCGTCTTTTATGTTCTCTTTCTACTTTGGATTCACTTTTGTTCTCATCAGCTGAATGCATAGACTCTGAAAGTCTCCTGGCAGGTTTACTTGATTCGCTTTTTGCATGAACATGCTTCAGCTCTTTTGAGGAAGACACCTTTTCCTTTTCAAAATGCTGTAAGAAAATCAAAGTTAAAATATGAGAAATACCAAAATACATTTTTAGATTCAAATTTCACATTTGGGTGCATTTAATATGTGCACTCAATGTGTTGTCACATACATTACCCCTCACTTAATCCTTGTAAGCAGCCTTTAGTAGGTATTAAAAAATAAAACAAAACAAAACCAACTGCTATCAAGTTGGTTCCAACTCAGTGACCCTATAGGACAGAGTAGAACCGGCCCATACGGCTTCCAATGCTGTAATCTTTACAGAAGCAGACTGCCACATCTTTCTTCAGCAGAGCAGCTGGTGGGTTTGAACCACGAACCTCTTGGTTAGCAGCCGAGCACTTTAACCACTGTGCCACCAAGGCTCCTTGTAGTAGGTATTACTAACCTCATTTTATGCATTAGGAAACTGAAGCTTAATGTGATTCAATAACTCAACACCCAAGCAACAAGTAACTGCTAGATAGAACTAAGTTTAAATGATCTTATGCTGATCTAGTGCTCTTCCACTACATCACAGACACCTTTATAGACACTAATTCTTTCTCCTGAGACTTGTCCATGTACTTAGGAAGCCTTTGTTAATTCTGTATCATTAATGACCATCTAACGCTCAGGCAAACATCAAAAAACCAAACCCACTGCCGATGAGTCAATCCCAACTCACAGTGACCCTACAGGACAGAGTGGAACTGCTAAACAGGGTTTCCAAGGCTGTAAATCTTTACAGAAGCAGACTGCCACATCTTTCTCCTACAGACCAGCTGGTGGATTTGAAATGCTGACCTTTAGGTTAGCAGTCGAGTGCTTTAACCACTGTGCCACCAGGGCTCCTTAATGCTCAGTAGTCATTAATAAATATAAGCTGAATAAATGACAGGCCAATGCTCTTTTTTAGTCCAAGAACATAATACCTGATGATGAAGACAGTTTAAAAATTTTATACTGAAAAATAGAAAATAAAGGAAATCTGAGTCATTTATTACAGCATTATGAATTTAGGCTACCTGTAAGATACCCTACTAATGAAGTTCCAAATACACATGGTAACTCATTGACGACTAGCTCTAATGATTCTTACTCAAATGGGCTGAAGTCCTAAGAAAGATTTTTGTGCATCTGAGTCAGCTTATATTGCACCTCTTCAAAGGTTAACATAAAGATTAATATATTTCCACTGATACAGGAACCAAGACATGGTAAGACCTTAAAAAATACACCTTCTCCTCACTTATCAACTATCTTGTTATGTGACACTTTGCATTTACGACAACAGTAAAAAATCTACTATCTGACTAGTTTGTGCATTAACGATGTATGCCTGGCAGTAACTATCACTGAGGTGGGTGGCGAGAGTAACGCTGGCTTTGATAGTTAAGGTTAAGTATCAACTTGGCTGGGCCATGATTCTCAGTGGTTTGGCAGTTACCTAATGATATAATCTGGCAGCTATGTAATAATGTAACTTGGCAGCCATGTAACGAGGTAATTTAGCAGTTATGTAATGATGTAACTTGGCAGCTATGTAATGATGTAGTTGTCCTCCATTTTTGCATAATACTGATTTCGCATAACAACCTGGTGTTTGGAACTGAACCACGTCAATAAGTGAGGAGAAAGTGTGTTTTAGAATTAAACTCTTTAAAGAAAGACTAAGGGGAATTGTATATCAACCTAATTTTACAATAAATTCTTTTTTTTTTATTGTTGTGCTTTAAGTGAAAGTTTACAATTTACATTAGTCTCTCATACAAAAATTTATAAGTAGTTGTGACCCTAGTTGCTCTCCCTATACTGTGACAATATTCTCCTCCTTTCTACCCTGGATTTCCCATGTCCATTCAACCAGCTCCTGACCCTCTGCCTTCTCATCTCACTTCCAGCCGGAGCTGCCCATTTAGTCTCATGTATCTACTTGAGCTAAAAAGCACACTCTTCACGAGTATCATTTTA